AAAAAAGTTTTCTACAAACCCAAAAAAAAAACCCCATAATATTTTTTATACAACAAATTTTCCAAACCAAAAAAAAAAAAAAAAACACTTTCTACCAAAAAAAAAAAAAAAAAAAAAAAAAAAAAAAAAAAAAAAACAGAACCCAGGATTTTTAATACAAACATTTGCAATGTTTATGAACAATACCCTAACAGTGACAAACCAACACAAGTTTACAAATTACAATACAAACATGAACTACACCACATCATAACACAATTACCTCTGCTGCCTAAAGGGGCTCTATTAGAGGGGGGGGGGAGTAGGTATCATGTTAAGCGCATTTTTCTTGTATCCTCAAGGGTTCTAGCTTTGAACCACCAGATTACTCTGTTGGGTCCCCACCTATAAATCACCTTTATGCCTTTTTTTCCTGAATTGAGCACACGCATTCCTCGTATTTCTATTTTAAGTATGGGGTATTAATAATATTTTTCTATAAGGCTGCAGCATGATTTTGGTATATAACCCAGCTTCTATAATAACATTGCCTGCAGCGGGGGAAGCTATAAGTATAAGGAGGTACTAAAGCTCCTTAAACTGTGTCACAGACACAATCCATGACTGCCACTCATCCATGATACTTGGCTGTCACATGATGGAGTGAACAGCGTCTCCAAAGCCGAGTAAGATCCAGGGATGCAAGCTAGTTGTGTGGATACAGCAATGTATAATTCCATGAAAACTGAATGATTTACAAAAGCAAAAATCCTGCATAAAACCCCTTTAACCAACATGACACTAACACATACATTATGTCACTGTATTACTCACTACTATGTTACATTACATAAAATGTTGTACACACAAAGTGCTAAACAGTCAGATGTGTATTATATAACCTCTCTTGACACTGATTCTTATCAATGAGCACTGAACATATTAAGCTCATATATAGCACTCTAAAAAAAGAATTCTTTGCAACTCCGACACCTAATTTATTTTTTCTTTCTTTCTTTTTTCATAACCAATTCTCAATGGGGCACACAGTATCAAACTGACATAAAATGAAGCATCAATCCCGTAATATCTTTTTGTAGCCAATATATTACAACCCATAAACATACAAAAAGGAAGCAAAACTACAAATCCAAACCCAGAAATATTTTCTAGATTACAAGAAATAAGGTAAAACCAAATGGGGAAGAGCACACTGTTGTGTATCAGATACCTTATGCATACCAGCACACATTCAGATGTGTTTTATCATAGCTGGCCTTCTATCAAAATTTTACTTCAAGCTGTGAATTTTTATACTAGGCGGAAACTGGGACACTAAACCAGACGCATCACCCCTCGATATAATGAAATTCAAAAAATTTTTCTCATCTCTGGACCACGATCTTGTAACAGGAACACCATACCAAGTATAAACACATTACATGTGTGCATTCTAGACCACCACATAGGCTCCTGTAAACTACTTCTTCTTAGTATAAAATCAAGACATAACAAACTAGTGGGCATCATTTTTTCTTTGATTTGATAGCTATAGGTAGAGAGGCAGCATAGTGTGGTGAGCTGCCCTCCACTTCATCACTACTTGAGATGGATGACGGTGAATCCACGCTTTCATCTGGACAAGGGCTGTCTGGAGGCTTGCAAGGCGATTCACCCTGCAACAGGTGTGACAAGGCATCTACTTTCTGTTCCTGAGTGTTGGAGGTCCCTGGAGCATCCCCCTGAGATAGCAAGAATGGCACTTACTTTACTTGTGTAATTTTATTTTCAAATTTTCAATCATCAAAAATTTAAATTTTCTTTATTTGATTGTGTTTCTTTATCTTTAAAAATGGTTATTTACTTTTATTCATGGGGGGGGATTAGCCTCAATTAGAATATGAAACACATTCCCCTACAGAATGTCAAATAGCACATTACAGTGCAATCAGAAAAATTGTTCACAATGAAAAACATTTCATCATCCAAAATAAGACTTGTCGTAATATTCCTCAATTAGCCTTCTATATAACATAGAGCATTATGTAACTCACAACAACATACCTTATGCAATTCTGGGAAGTCTTCCTCATTTAGCTGGAACTTTTCTAAACCAGAGTCATAAGAACTCGATTCCCTGAAAAATAAAAATAAAATGTGGATTTAATATGAATCCCCATGCTAAAAAATTGCAAAGGGTAGAAAATATGATTAATGGAAAGAATGCTTTCAATGGCATAAAAAGCAAACATTTATATTACCTTTGGTACCCATGCAGGAAAGGACAAGTAAGACCCTTAAAACAGCACCCTTCTTCCCAGAACCTACAGGTTATCTGGGTGAGATCATGAGAAAATTTACAGTCCGCCCGTCTACAGTGACCCTCCAAGAAGAAGCTGCATGGCTTCTTGCGTGGCCCTGCAATGTACAGAAGAACACTTGACTATGTGTGTATGCAAGTCCCTTTAGCATTATTTATCGTTATTAATTTCAATTATAACAAAACTAGCATATATGCAATATGTACACAGAACAGGTCCTTCCTGTTGGCCTAAAATCTCTGACAAATGCATAAATGCAAAGGACTTATTCTACATTTCCTGCAAATCTGTGCTCCAGGACTTATAATATGAATGCTTGCCTGATTTATCTTTCCTCGGCTTCTGGACTTCAAAGTGCTTTCCTGAGGTTCTCCACTGTTCTTCCAGATCGGATGAGTACAACACCTGAGCATGGGACGGCATGGGCACAGAGTCCACTATCTCCAAAGGGAACATCTACAAACATCAAAAAACACAATGAGATCAACACAGAGCAAACTCAGGTTATATGACAGAGCCACTTAAATCCTACAATCAGTGGTATCTACAATTTTTTGTGTTCTTAAAGTTATTCTGACATGAGAATTTGAATTCAAAGACTAATGCTTTTCTTGACTTAAATGAATTTATAAATAAATTTGGTAATCGTGCCACAATTATCAATCACTAACCTGTAATAGAAAGTCAGCTGTGTTATCAGTGAAAACATCGTCATCCTGTTCATTTTTCTCGTTGCCATTTTTGTTGTTAACTCTTCTCGAGGTCACCGGAATCTCTTCCCCAGAACTGTCTTCCTCTTCATCGTCTTGTATCAACTCCTTCCAAGGCTTGGTGCTCCTCTGTTTCACAGGCTTTCCACAAGAATCTTTCCTCTGTTTGTGATTGTCAACTTCAGTTGACCAGTGATACTTCCCTGTGTCATGCATGCCCGATGACTGCCAGCTACCAAAGTGTATTTTAGGCACACCTGGATTGCCTTCAAAGACTGAAGAGCTTTGTCCACCTGGGTGCCAACTTTCAGATAAACAATGACCCTGTCCAGTCTGTTCTTCACATTTCTCTTTACAGTCATTCTTTTGTGTCTCTTTCCATAAGTTACTAGTGCTATTTACTAGGAATAAATACTGTACAGGTTCAGAGTTCTGATCCCCTCCATTTTGCTGCTGACAGTTGCTGTCAGCGCTCCAGGGATTCCACCCACTCTCTACAGGAGCAGTGGGGAGGACAGAGTCCTGGGAATGATCAAAACATCTGTCCTCGGCAAAATCACAGCTAAGGTTGTCATATGGACTCAAGTCCACATGCTTTACAGCAGGAATCTCTGTCTCCAGTTTAGCACCAGCTTGGAAATCAGTGCCTAATCTACTATTACTACTACTACTAGCACCCAGGTCTGGTGCCAGAAGTTGCACCTTGGAGTTGGGCAGAGAACTACATGCCCCACTCTCGGTAAGGGGGTTCAGGCTAGCCTCGGCTATTCTTTCACCCCCCTCTTCTTGTGATGTCTCCGTATTGTGCATCTGACATAATGAGAGCACGTCTATTTCATCGTCTGTTATCCACAGTTCTCGTAAGCTGCTGGCAATATCAAAAATATGACCAGACCACAGTCTGGTCTGATCACCAACGGCACCAGTTGCAATCTGACTTGAGCAATTAACATATACAGGAGAGTCTACTTCTCTTTGGTTATCTGCTGTTCTATGATTGTAAGGTAACTGAGAGTCTAAATTCTCCTTATCTAAATGTGACATAAGTTTCTCAAAGGCACCACCTCCTTCCTCCTCAATGGAGGTCATAACTGTGTTATTGCCAAGTTTATGACACATGCCTAACTGCTGCCTACTGTCACTCATGCTATCCCTCAAATTATCACAGCTACAAGAAGAGTCTGTTTGTGCAGACTTATTATTGTCTCTTTGAATCTTAAACTTTGGTACAAACTCGGCCCCATTTTCTTGGGACACCTCATCTCCAAGGTACACTTGGTAATTGCTTCCGTAGGAATCTGCAGCAGACTCCTCTTCGTTTGCTTCTTCAGTTGGAGATGTCACTTGGGTGTTGCTACTGGAGTCATTTTCTAAGCTTTCAGTGCGCGGCGTCTGGATAGGCCTGAAGTGAGTCTTGGGCGAAAAGAACAGGTTCTCTTCCTCCACCTCCCCAGATAGAGGCGGCGTTACATTTTTAGCGATAGTTGCAGCTGCAACAGCAGCAGCGACATTCCTTCTGTAATGTGTCAGGAGTTTTAAATGTTGTTGATTTAACTGACTATAAAAATCACTGCCACGTCTGTATCTCCTAAAGGCTGATCCTCTGAATATCTCAGATTCACTGAAGACATGATGCAGAGGCCTATGTGTAGGGTCTTCCGATGCACCAAAATATGAGTAAGTGCCAGTGTCTCCAGAACAACTTGCATAAGTACATAATGCACTATCCACAGATATACTACGAGCCCTAAATCTCCCTACAGGGGGATCTGAGGAGAGATCTTCAGAATTATCATTCTCTAATTCTTCTAAATTGTTTACTAATGCACTATGAAACCAGTCCTTATCCCAAGAACTGGAAAGACTAAGGTTGTCTACGTAGGAACTTTTATTTCCCCAAGTTTCACCTACGGCCCTTATACTCCAAATATTATCTAAAGAATCCGTGGGAACATTCCCATACACCCCACCATTGATGAAAGTCTGCTCGCCATTAAGAATGCCATATCCCAGATCGGGAAAGGATCTAATAGCAGACCAATCTTCAGCAAAAGACAAGATCCCATTGCTGACCCAAAGGTTGTGAGCGTTACCCTCAAAATTGAACGGCCTGTGTGAATTCACGTCCCACAGCTGAAAGGTGTCCTGACCAGGTGCTCTCCTCGGAGAAATAAGACTGCTGATGCTGTCCATCCAGGGATAGCTGCTTTGATTCATGCAATCCATCTCTAGGCACAGCCCCTCCGAATAGCCATCATGTAGAAACCTGTGGGTACTCATGCTTCTGAACACAGATTCACCAAAGGACAATTCAAGATTCAAGCCGCTAAACATATTTGAGGCTGTGAATAGTCCGTGGTGATCTGAGAATCCGTTTGAACTTCCCCAGGGATAAGAACTTGTGGTGATTCCATTTACAGCAAGAGGACTCCAGATTGAGCTCCCAGTGATCAGTTCCAAAGGCCAGAAGCTATCAGAAGACAGGGTTTCTTTGACTGGATCAATGTTACTGGACTCGTTGTTATTGTAGTCTTCTGTGTGGCTCTGGGTACCAGAAGAAATCTTCTCAGCACTGGGCTCTCCCTGTGTCAACTGGCACTGAGAACCACCTGTGTCTGACAATAATGTGCTTACATTCTTATCCAAACTCTGTAAAGAACTCTCTGTTTCACTTTTCTGTTCCAACATGCTTTCCCTTATGACACCTACTGCTGAGAGTGGCGACTCGGGTTGAACCCCATCTTCTTGGGAGGCATATCCTAAGGATTCATTATCCCAGAAGACTTCTTCACCGGGACTGAGCAGGACATCTTCAGTGCGAACCAATTCTGGCATGGGGTTGGGTTCTTCACAGCTATTCTCATCGGAACTTTCACTCTGTGAGAGGAACCAGTGACAAGGATCTGGGCTGCTCTCAGTCGTCTTGCCTGCAGCTGCTTCTTCAGCTAAGACAACAGGTTCCTCTTGGTCAGTCTTTGATGCATTTTCAAACAACTTTAAGAATCTTGACTGGGATGGTAACTCATTATTTGATTCTACAAAAGCCTCCTGCGATTCTTCAAACAGTGCCACTAGGTCGAGGCCTACTTCGGGGGTGCTCCTTCGATACGGCTCTTCATGATGAACAGTAAGGCCACGATTATACAAGCGGATGGTATTGGGAGTAGGTGAGTGCCGGAACATCTCATCCAGAGGCTTAACATACCAACCGTAGTCCTCCTGAAGTTCTGGGGTCACTGATCTCTTGGGCCTAAAGGAGTAAGTGGGTGCCTTCTCTGCAGTGGTCTGTTTTATGCCTTTCTTAGGCACATGTGCGTGCTGAGGGTAAGGGGAGGTCCTTCTTCCAGACTCATCCTCGCTACTGGTTTTGCTGCTACTAGCTGACAGTGGAGAAGAGTGACCACTGCTGGGTCTAAACTTTGGCACAATAAATGATGGTTTCTGTTTGCCATGAAGAGGCCATGTGTTTGTCTTGCTGGATGAAAAATGTTTGCCAGCTTTACCTCTTCTCTCTTGGTCGAAAGGCCTTCTTGAAATTTCATGCCTTCCAAAGCGCCCATGTTTGGGCTGGGGAGTGACTGATCGTCTTGACTTTGTTTTCGACTGTATTTCAACTTCTGTTGCGTTTCCAGCTTGAACTGAATAATTCTTATTCTCATTCAGCTGTTTTCTGGTGTATGCAGGCTTTCTTCCAACTCCAACAGGTCCTTCTTTTTTCACCACACCTGGCTTAATGGACTTATCAGACTTAACAATGACTGGGGAATGATTGGAAGTTCCATCAGCACTCTTGCACCGCTTTGCTTCTGGTTTGCCTCTACTGTCTTCTTTTCTATTTTTTTCAGTCTTGGTTGAGTTGGTGAGACGAGAGTCACTTAAGTTCCCCAGACCATCTTCTTTGTTTCCTACTTTTTCACTCCACAGCTTGGCTTTGCCCTTCTTCCATACAACACCAAAGGCGGATCCCTGCTGTTCCTTTCCAGATAGAGAAGGGAAGGCTGCAAAGTACCTGACAGTAAAATGTGCCATTTTAGAATATAAATAAATAAACCTTGCATGTTATTTATGTTTTACGATTCATAGTGTTATTTAAGATAATAACTATGACACTTTTCATTTAATACTTGACACTATTAATGCAAAAAGAAGCAACAGAGACTGAACTTTTTTCATATTTTAACTTTAAGAGATGATAACAATTGTAATCAAATGACGTTGGCTTTCAACGGCTCAGTGGTTACATAAGATATCTATTTACCAGTAGAAAAGGTCTACTTATAACTTTAAAATTAGAATGTTGAATAAAAACCTTTCAGTCTAAATTACTCACTTTTCCTTTGGATCACCAGGAGAAGCTGCAATTACTTCATTCTTACTAGGAGTGGGAGTTGATGCCACATCTGAAAAAACGAAATTGAACTAATCAATAATATTTTACTTCTAATGAGGTCTGGGTTAAGCTCACTGGACCAGCCACTTACATATTATCAATTATCACAATGGTCTATTTGCTTTGATATCACAGTGACACCCTTTACATCCCTGGCCTCTTAATTTTAACCAAAAATTTCCAATAATGAAACTTTAAGAAGTAGAAACCCAACTAAACACACCAGAAAATGTTTTCCCAACACATGTGGTAACCAATTTTGTTTCAGAAACCATATCTAGGAATGCATTTAAGGGGGCGTTTGTGTGTGTGTGTGTGTGTGTGTGTGTAACATAAAATACTTGCATTTATGTTATCAGGAAGTACTGTAACAAACCCATACACCCAGTACAACCTACAGTTTCTTTAAGCATGAATTCAGGCCTACATTTTCAACTTGGCAAGAGTTAAATAAAAATTGTTCTGCACCTGGGAATGTTAGGCCTGCAATCGTTATAGTCAAAACTGATAACTGCACAGGCTTAGATTCTCTTTTCATGTCTGGTTGAGATTAGAAAAACAAGTCTAAAAGCTAACAGCAACGAAGCTACTTAAAGAAAAAATAAGACTCAATTAAGCTGACACTTGCATCAAGAATATTTCAATTTGAGAGCTCTTTTCTGCATTAGCAAAAAGTTTCACTTACTGCAAGTGTTAAACCTATTCAACATTCTTCATAAAACTTACAGTACTGACTTAATTCTGTACCACAGTTGATAAATCGAATAAAACTGAAAGATTTGCATGAGAGGAAAAATTCTGATATATGGAATATTTACATCACTGATAACCAACTTTGTCAAAGAAAAAAAGGAATGGAAAAGCACGAATCCATAAAAAGTTTAAAAATTCCAAGATGCTTATAAGAACACAAGCTGCTAGCATAACACAGTATCATGTAGACACACAAACACACTGTCAGGTGTATTTAAGGCACAGGCATAATATATTGATCACCCAGTCTACCTGACCTTTATACTGGTATACACCTTGAGGGTGTACTCAAGAACCATATAGATGTTCACAGTCTATGATACTAGTCTGAGTTCCTGTTAGATGGGTACTTCATACAGACTACTGTTATCAACACTGCTATCTCCTACAGGACAATGTATAGTAACAGGAAGCCCAAAATGGATAATTATCACATTGTGAAATTCATGATATGCACATGCATCATTACCCTAATGCAAAAAGCATACTTTCTAAATGTACTGTTAATTGCCTATACAGATGCTGTACACAGTGTGCTCTGCAGCACAAATTGATCTAAAAGTGCATTTGCCCCCCCCCCCCCCCCCCTTAAAACACCCAAGTAAATTCTCTTCAAGAACAATGCACTATCAAATCTTCATTGTTTATTGAACATCTTTGGATTATGATAACCTGTATGACATTTCCTTTGCCAACAGTCATGTGAATATCATGCACCCAAATTACGTGAAGGAAGTAAATGGTATAGTATTGGCCTTTGCTTATTAAGCACGTAAGCTGGGCAGATTAAAAGACAAAAAGCCACAGTAACTCAGTAAGGTTAACCAACTTTGTTTAAAAGAACTATCTGACAACATAAAATGACAAGATATTGCACAGGACACAATTACCCACCATTTGCTATAGGAATCTCCTATATACTATAAATTATGAGACATATCACCCCACTACAACTTAAAATCATTTATTACTGCTCCAGTGCAATAAAAGGCTTTGGTATCACCATCATATGTAGAATTGATTTTTTCAGACTTCAATATGGGGCAATCAATATTTGCAGCATGTGGGCTAGGCATATACTTCCTTCACAGCAGTGTACTACTAAGGTCACAAGATGGTATGCTATCACAATATAAACATACCTTTTTTCAGTGAGGACTGTTGCTTCAGTTTGACGCATAACTCTTCAATGAGATTCTCAATGTCTGAATCCTGAAAAAGAAAAAATATTTTAAAGTTACAAAAAAAAAAAGACAAAATTCATATGATATTTCAAATTTATCACAACTGATTCATTTATTTAATGACTCTTGCCAAGTCTGTTCTGAAGAAATAAATATTATAGGTAAGAAATTCCAGCACACTTTGTGATGAAAATTATAAATAAAATGAATGAAAAAGCCCTATACCCACTGGCAACATACTTATGCCAGCTTGAAGCCTGACGCTGATTGATTGCATGTAAATACAACACATACGGATCTAGATAACTAAGCAGAATAATAATATTTACAGAGTGGCAGTGCTCAATTTTATTTCTCTTGTTACATGATCTGACAATGTGACAGAGCTCAAACTGAGTACCTCTATTGTCTAATGTCATATTTATTTATCTATAAACACTAGAATAACACCTGTAAACAACAGAAGTAAGTCCTATTCTGCAGGATATACATAAACGCATCAAGTTGTCAACTCTGGATTTAAAGATCACTTTCTCACAACAGAGCATGACAAAACATAAAGAATCAGGGACTCCATTTAAATAATATATAAATCCATATCAATTCAGACAACAAAAAGAAATACTTTACATATTAATTTTCTTTGAAAGCAGTGCATAGTTCATTCATGTACTATCTAACTTAATTATTATTATTTATATTTTTTGTAAATTATTAACATTTCTAGAAAGATCCCCTCTTTGAAACATTCCAATTTCTTAAAACACATTTTATTGATTTCCTGTGTTATTTCAGCCTCTGGGTCTGTTGTGTAATGTGGTTTCAATGCTTCATTACAGGTGCAGTGCTTCAACTGCGACAGAGCATTCTTCAAACCTTAGACCCCATTCCCATAGAAACCATCAGTCTAAGTAAATTGACCCTACTCTGCGGGGACTCTTGCTGAGTGCAATCAGCTAAACTGAATGATGCTCCTCCTCTTGTTTCCAACATACTCTTAGACTTCGTTCACATGGAAAGTCTATTTTCTAAAAATCTATTTTCTATTCGTGGTATATCTTGTGATCACGGTCTGTGCCCTGAATGTCCCGCGGCGTAATTACTGGCAGCGCGAGCCAGTTACTATAAGTTACAATAAGTAACTGGCTCGCGCTGTCAGTAATTACGCCGCGGGATATTCAGGGCACAGACCGTGATCATAAGATACTGCAAATAGAAAATAGATTTTTAGAAAATAGACTTTCCATGTGAACGAAGCCTTATAATCACCAGCTTTTCTGTATCTTACTAAACGCTAGGAAGAAGCCTGTCATTCAATTAAGCTGATTGCTCTTAGCAAGAGTCTCCGCAAAGTTGGATTGATCTACATAGACTAAAAGTGTCTATGGGAATGGGGCCTAAGAAATATAGGTTGACAGGCCCCTTTCAATTAAAGCCATTGCTAAAGCATAAACCTGAATACTGCCAGTCACCTGACAACTAGATCATTCATCTTCTCGCCCAGTGTAGCTGATCTGAGGTTAAGCAGGAGGTGTTGCTCCATCTATCAAACATGATGGCATTTTACAAAAGACAAGTGACAAGGCCTGCCCTTGATACCTTTGTGACTCTTGGGGACAAGTATCCCTGTCAACTTTATTCAGTCACTTCCTTCTACCTTTTTCTTTCTTTCTTTGGCAAAATTTGTAAAAATTACCTAATGCTATTCAGCTTCCTGTACAATCACATCTCAACTTTTAGCACTATGAAGAATCCATTTATATGTATTATTGGTAATGCTTTCTTGGCAAGCAAAAACTAAACCAGATTCAGAGATAGGATCAAATAAGAACCACGGAAATTTATCAGCTTAGATACTGAACTAACCCACTGCGCAAGGTTATTAACTAGAACATCAAATAAAGTCAGCATTATCACTGAAAGCAGATTATCCCCCCCCCCCTTGCTATCTATAAATGGGAAATGAAAAACATATGTCTGCACAAATACATATTGGTTCTGAGAATAATTTACCTAGATTCCATGTTCTTTACATAAATACCTAGGGGCACAACTACTAGTAGATGTATCATATTGAAAAAGATATTGAACTGAATGTACAAAATTGCACAATGCTAACCTACCAACAGATTTTTTCATATGCACACCTGTATATGAAGGCCTGTATGAGGGTAATGACTAAAAAATTGTAAGACATGGCAAGACAAGACTGCACCCAGGGATGGACAGATAGTCAACCCAAGTCTAGATTACTCCTCTGTATTTGGGAGAGGGGGGGGGGAAGAGATTTAAAAATTAGGTGCAACTATGAACCTGTAGATTTCTTTTACAATTGGAGATGTAATATACATTTATATACTCTAAACATGCCTTCCAGAAGTTCCTTAGTTTGCACTTACAGTAATACATATATATTCAATTTCACAAGAGAAGTCTTGTTTCTTTCTGAACTAAGCAAAGGATGATCAACGTTTCCAATTCCTAAATGAGAAAAAACGTTTTTCTTCCTACTAGATATCACCTCCTTTTAAACTCACAACATCAAACGTAAATCATAAGAGTATCATGTAATGTCAACAAACCTCAAAAAGTTATCACAACAGTGTTTTATAAATATATCCTATGCAAGGAACATGCATTATTTTTCCTTCAGTGCTTGGATTTATTTTCACCCATCAAATAACTAATCCAACTTCCCTCAGTCTACTCCAACTCAGATAAGTCTAAGGCTTTGTTCACATGCAATGTCTATTTTCTATTTTCTATTTTCTATTTTCGGTATGTCTTATGATCACGGTCTGTGCACTGAATATCCCGCGNACTGAGCTCTATTTTCTAATGTCATATATAAACACTAGAATAACACCTGTAAACAACAGAAGTAAGTCCTATTCTGCAGGATATACATAAACGCATCAAGTTGTCAACTCTGGATTTAAAGATCACTTTCTCACAACAGAGCTCAACAAAATATAAAGAATCAGGGACTCCATTTAAATAATATATAAATCCATATCAATTCAGACGACAAAAAGAAATACTTTACATATTAATTTTCTTTGAAAGCAGTGCATAGTTCATTCATGTACTATCTAACTTAATTATTATTATTTATATTTTTTGTAAATTATTAACATTTCTAGAAAGATCCCCTCTTTGAAACATTCCAATTTCTTAAAACACATTTTATTGATTTCCTGTGTTATTTCAGCCTCTGGGTCTGTTGTGTAATGTGGTTTCAATGCTTCATTACAGGTGCAGTGCTTCAACTGCGACAGAGCATTCTTCAAACCTTAGACCCCATTCCCATAGAAACCATCAGTCTAAGTAAATTGACCCTACTCTGCGGGGACTCTTGCTGAGTGCAATCAGCTAAACTGAATGATGCTCCTCCTCTTGTTTCCAACATACTCTTAGGCTTCGTTCACATGGAAAGTCTATTTTCTAAAAATCTATTTTCTATTCGCGGTATATCTTGTGATCACGGTCTGTGCCCTGAATGTCCCGTGGCATAATTACTGGCAGCGCGAGCCAGTTACTGTAAGTTACTATAAGTAACTGGCTCGCACTGTCAGTAATTACGCCGCGGGATATTCAGGGCACAGACCGTGATCATAAGATACCGCAAATAGAAAATAGATTTTTAGAAAATAGACTTTCCATGTGAACGAAGCCTTATAATCACCAGCTTTTCTGTATCTTACTAAACGCTAGGAAGAAGCCTGTCATTCAATTAAGCTGATTGCTCTTAGCAAGAGTCTCCGCAAAGTTGGATTGATCTACATAGACTAAAAGTGTCTATTGGAATGGGGCCTAAGAAATATAGGTTGACAGGCCCCCTTCAATTAAAGCCATTGCTAAAGCATAAACCTGAATACTGCCAGTCACCTGACAACTAGATCATTCATCTTCTCGCCCAGTGTAGCTGATCTGAGGTCAAGCAGGAGGTGTTGCTCCATCTTTCAAACATGATGGCATTTTACAAAAGACAAGTGACAAGGCCTGCCCTTGATACCTGTGTGACTCTTGGGGACAAGTATCCCTGTCAACTTTATTCAGTCACTTCCTTCTACCTTTTTCTTTCTTTCTTTGGCAAAATTTGTAAAAATTACCTAATGCTATTCAGCTTCCTGTACAACCACATCTCAACTTTTAGCACTATGAAGAATCCATTTATATGTATTATTGGTAATGCTTTCTTGGCAATCAAAAACTAAACCAGATTCAGAGATAGGATCAAATAAGAACCACGGAAATTTATCAGCTTAGATACTGAACTAACCCACTGCGCAAGGTTATTAACTAGAACATCAAATAAAGTCAGCATTATCACTGAAAGCAGATTATCCCCCCCCCCTTGCTATCTATAAATGGGAAATGAAAAACATATGTCTGCACAAATACATATTGGTTCTGAGAATAATTTACCTAGATTCCATGTTCTTTACATAAATACCTAGGGGCACAACTACTAGTAGATGTATCATATTGAAAAAGATATTGAACTGAGTTCAATATCAACTGAATGTACAAAATTGCACAATGCTAACCTACCAACAGATTTTTTCATATGCACACCTGTATATGAAGGCCTGTATGAGGGTAATGACTGAAAAATTGTAAGACATGGCAAGACAAGACTGCACCCAGGGATGGACAGATAGTCAACCCAAGTCTAGATTACTCCTCTGTATTTGGGAGAGGGGGGGGGGGAAGAGATTTAAAAATTAGGTGCAACTATGAACCTGTAGATTTCTTTTACAATTGGAGATGTAATATACATTTATACTAGTACTCTAAACATGCCTTCCAGAAGTTCCTTAGTTTGCACTTACAGTAATACATATATATTCAATTTCACAAGAGAAGTCTTGTTAATTTCTGAACTAAGCAAAGGATGATCAACGTTTCCAATTCCTAAATGAGAAAAAACGTTTTTCTTCCTACTAGATATCACCTCCTTTTAAACTCACAACATCAAACGTAAATCATAAGAGTATCATGTAATGTCAACAAACCTCAAAAAGTTATCACAACAGTGTTTTATAAATATATCCTATGCAAGAAACATGCATTATTTTTCCTTCAGTGCTTGGATTTATTTTCACCCATCAAATAACTCATCCAACTTCCCTCAAGTCTACTCAAACTCAGATAATCAAGTCTAAATTAAGGCTCTTTTGCCAACATATCAACACCCATGGAGATTGATTAAGCAATAGTTTCTGGTTCTTCCATCAATGGCTTCTTACAAAAATCCAGGTGTAATATATTATCACTTTAGAAGGATACACTTTGATAAATCTTAAGATAAACTAAACAAAAATCCTTGTGACTTAAAAGAAGATAGTAAAAGATGATTTTCAAGGACTAAAAAACCACCATTTCATAATGTATGAGCGAAATTTTAACCAATTCTGTCTGAACAACTAAGATGTTTTATTTTCAAAACACTACGAGTACTTAGTTTGTATAAAACTTTTTATCTGATTTGGATAAAAATTCTGCCTCAAATACCAGTCACATTACTCCTAATATCAATCACTGAACCAACATGTCAAGTCAGTTCTGTTGCAAAATTGAATAACAGAATACTGTAATATATTCAGATTTTGTTCCACTTAATGTGATGTCATCACAACATGTGCTTTTCACACAAAAAAAGGATAATGCCATCTGTTTAATGTACTGACTGAGACGCAGCACTTGCATATAAATGACTGATGAATTTGTTGTTTTGAAAGCTTGTATATTCTTTTTTTTTTCAAGCTCTTAAAATCCTTTTTGATGCTGTTAAGCCAGTATCCATATATATTAATATTTAGAAACAGAGTACCCTAAAATAATAATAAAACAAGCTATCCAAGCAATCTTTTTACATAGTTTAAATGTATTAATATACATATGCACAAATACAAGCAGCCCCATTGTTGATTAAAATTGTTGGTTTTCTTTCAAAAGAAACAAGTCAGGATGCTTGTGACACTTACACCGCATTTCCACAGATTTTTAGATCGATCTATCCCTGTGGGGAGTCTCACTAGATTACTGTCAGCTTGGCCGGCTTAAGCGTCTGTCCCGCCTACTAAAAGCTGTAAGGGGGTAATTAACTATGGTGCCCGCTCGGCTGACTGCAATTTAGCGTGAACCCCCAGGGAGTTAGGTCGATCTAAATCTTAATCTTTAGATCGATCTAAATCTCTGGGAAAGCACCCTTATAGCCTTTTAATATGTCTCTGACAGCCAGGTGGATAACTGTACAGAGAAAGGAAGTAATTTGTTTGATAATCAATTTACAGCTATTCTTAATTATGGTCAATATGACCTCACAGTGACAGAACAACAGATGTTAATCATGTCAAAAGCAGGAGGGCTGTCCATCACTTAGAAATATCATACCATTATCTAGCACCCCATAATTTGTTATCAGATACCAGAACAAAGAAATCAAGAACCTGCCCCAGCTACACAATAATACTTGGTGGGATTGGGAATTCAGTTTTAATCCAGCTAGTGCTAGTTAGTCCTTTTTAAGTATTTTATCTTAAATTTGTCATTTTAAAGTCAAGCTGTACACAAATATATTGATCGTAGCATGCCACTGATGTCTGGGCTTGTATAGGTTTTCAATGGATGACCTGAATGATGGTAGGTTTGTAGGTCAACATGGTGGTCAAAAGGTGACTGGACCACATCAAATCAAACTCCTTGATCAACTTCTTTAGAAATAAATAAAAATGATTGTAATACTAAAATTAACTTAGTAAAACCTAGGTGTATAAAATGGAAATCAATAGCTTTGCAGCCCACTCAACTTACTTGATCTGTCACTGACAGTAAGCATTCAACTGCAGCACTTTTCTTCACTTGGTCTGGGTCCACTTCCACTGACTTACGCTTGTCAGACTTCTTATCTACCTTCTTGGTCTTGCTTTTAGGCTTCCGAACACTGGGGACTGGTTCTCGTTTCTTTGGAGAATGAAATGGGTCTTGGTAATCTACCTCAACACTGTCCTGCTGTAGGATACTCAGGATGTATCGAGTGTAGATCATAGCATCAATGCCCCGCACCTCCAACTCGTGGCCGAGCCAACTCTGTACAGAAGTGGACATGCTGGCTTCTCGAGACATTGTCTCAAGACCACAGAGTCCCTCACCTCTTCCTCCTGTGGCTCCTTGAGCCTCAATAGTTGGCCAACCTATTATGATGGCTGATTCCCATGTCTTCAAGAAAAGCAGTGATTATTCAACATAACGAGCTGGTCGCTGGATTTGTACTGGCCAAAGCCCGATCTTGGACATGAAATAGATGGGTGTAATATTTATTCTGCATCACTTCTTTTTGGCTGTATCATTTCAGGTTTAGGTCAATCATATGAACAATGCCTCTATCCTCCAAGAGAGACCTGCCAAGAGGTGTTTTTAGGCTGCCATTATACAAGTGTGCAGAGGATCTATTTTAAGCTGCAGCACTGATACTTCCTAAGCTGACTGCCCAGTTGATTTACACACTTCATCCACATGGTGGAAGGTGTATTGTTGGGTTTTCTGTAATGAAAATAACAAAAATCTGTACTTTATTGAATTCTACGAGTATTTTAATTTTTATCTTTTACACTCTATATTTCATCTAGAACTGAATGCCACACCTCACTTCCACCAGCTACTTTCATGTAAACATAATTGCTAAGCTCAATTTATCAAATACTTCAAACAGCTGAATGACCAGATGATCTATTAACTTTTTAAAGTATGCACTGGAGAACCGTTACCAAATAAGCACCACATTTTAGAAATATCCAGTGTAAAGCATCCATCCGAACTTTTCAAGGTAACTTTCAACGCATCATCAAAACTTGTTCTACTTTATATAAAATGGTCTCCATTGATCTGATCATATCAGTTTATAAATTAAAGCATATAGTGGAACTCCAATGGAAACTGAGATCAATGATGTTTGCCACATCAAATTGATTGGAGAAGGCCTTTGACTTCTACAAAACATGCATCTTAATGAGTAGAAACTAGCTTTTAAAATGGAAAGCAAATTACTGGTGTCACCTGCTGCACACAGGCAAATTTTGTTGTTATTATGATATGCTAAATGTCATTTTATGCGCTCTTTGCACTGTAATAGTCTGTATAGAAATTTGCTTATAAAGCTCATTTACAAAATTCATGTCACCATAGACAGTAGAAACCCCCACCTTTCAATATTATTTTTATAACACATAAATATGACACACTTAAAACATTATATGTGACTAATAATCACAAAACTAGCTTTATTCTGATACATTCGAGAAAAAGCAAAATTAAATACTTCATCAAAATAAATCATTCAAACAAATAAATTTAGTTGAAATCATTTAAAGCATTAATGTTACATTTAATGCATTCCCTCGTACCGTCTATTGATAAGTAATATCGGGGCAGATAAACTTCCTCTGCCAAATTACCTTGAATGTCACTAAAACGTAAACGAAGATGGCGGATAAACAAATGGGGCCCACCTTCCAAGAGAATAAACCCAAAATAATGGAGCAACTAGTGCATCCCACGATTCAAAATCTTAATTAGTTGACTTCAAAGCTTAACCTGCCTCAGTAATTTACAATACAACCCAGCTCTATTAAGAATGAAGAAGAAAACTGATCTCATTAAAAAGAGGCCCAAAGCTAGGTGTCAGCTGAGAGATCCGAGTCTAATCGATGGGCCGGTGCCCTCCCACTATACATGTATATAAGTCCTCTCCTGTACAACAAACTCTACATCAACTGGAATATATATATTGGTCGACTAACAATTTAGGCAAAAAGTGATTTTTGAAAGTCTGATCGTTTTCCTACCTTCTTAATCCTGAAGAAAAATTGGCCAACATCAAATAAAATTGACCAAGAAGACACAAATGTTGTCAATGCGGAAGCGGAACTTAATCCGCAAAGAAATAGTACTATACTATTGCGAAAAAAATCTCTATTCTTGCTACCTTTTGCATTTGTTATCAAATATTATAATAAATATAAAATACTTCACGTAGTGAAATAGCTGTATGATGTGAAACACTCTTGTTAAAATTATGGAAAAGTGAAATCCTTACACAACGCACTATTTACTTTGACCTTGAATATCGATCATGACTGATGCAAAAATAGGCGCGTAACTGAAATTAGGAAAAATTATGAAAGCCGTGTAATGTTCAACAAAGAGGGTGAAAGTTCACTAATTATAAACCATTTCATTGGATATTTTGTTCATTTGAGATAGTATCCCTCTATTATGTCACTGCGTAAATTTACGACAAAAAAATCATCATTGACAACTGCGACTGATAGATCCAACGTTATTGTGTCAGCTGCGACTAAGTCTAGTCTACTGATTGCGTTGGCTGTATTAGCGTGAAAAATTAATGATATTTATTTTAAATCGAACATATTTTTATTAGAAGTATATTGGCTTCTAAAAATATATACATGGTGGCTTTAAAAATCTCATTTTAAATCTACATAATTTGACTTGGGTGGCGAGGGATCTCATTCTTAAACTAGGTCACGGGGAATCCCCTAGAAAAATGGCTTCGGGTACAATGTTCGCTGTTTCCAAAACAAAATTTCCAATTTCTTAGTTCATTTTAATGCCAGAATTTGGTCTTTTGTGTCGCCTCATTGCAGAAATAAGGCATTTATAACATTGGCAGGTGAGAATGAAGCTGTTTAAAAGGAAAGTGAAGCAGAATAACGATTAAATTTCGTCATTTTAGTGTAGATACCCAGGCGTGCATGTACTTTCACTTTAGAAATAAGACGGCTGATAAGACTTCCATTTGTAATTCAAGTCCTGTAAGATGCTCCTGTTTGAGCATGGTCGAATAACTGCTGTTGCTCATTAGTGATTTAACATGTGATACAAAAATTAAGGATACACGTATATAATTAATGGTAGTATTATGAATTTTGAACAGCTAAGTTCCTATTTCATGCAGATTTTAAGGCAACTCGACTGACAATATGGATCTAGATGATTGTGGACAAACTCTGCACTTGTCTGTGTCAAACATCCCAACAGAAGCTACACGTGGAGAACTGTTTTCTTATTTTACTGAGGAACTTGGATACCCAGTTAAACATGTGCTGTATCCCATTGAGCCAGGAGAAGCAGTCGTCATACTTGATTGTTCTTTTCAAGGTATTTTTTCTGTTCTCTAGCTATAAACATGGCTTTGGAATGAAAGCATTGTATCAATATTTAAAGCAGGTTGTTTCAGTATTTTTCTCCTTTCTTAATTGTGTCATTATCATATTGTCCTTTAATGAAAATACCTGCATATCTATTTTCAGATCTGCAAATAGAGAGCATCATTGAAGCAGGAGCACAATTGAAGGGACATAAATTAATTTTGAGTAAAACCCCTCAGGTATATATTTCTTTGAAAAAAAATCTCGGAAAATCTTGCTCAATTTTATGCTTAGTTACAAGACTAAGGCTATTGTTAGCATTGATTTTTTTTTTAAATTTAATTTTTCCATGTATCACTGTGTTTGGTTATACTACAGTAGTTAATTATTACACATAACTTACAATTGAACCATGGTTGCAAAGGCTGTAGATTACTTTGTGATATTTATCATATGCTTTTCAGGTGTTCCATAATTTGTTTGTCACCATTGACTTCCAAATGCATGAACTGATGACAGAAGAGTTTTTGCAGGAGCTAAAAGCAGAAACAGGAGTCACAGTAACCTACAATGAAACTGATGATCAGTTTAGAATCCTTACAACTTGGCCACAAATCCAAATGGTTTACAACATGTTGGCACAGCTCTCCAAACAGAAAGTCGGTCAAGAATCACATGTATCAGCTTCACAAAAAAAGCACAGGAGACCACATTCAAGCAGCTCCATGCACAGACATAGGGCCACCTCAGAGCCTTCAGCAGGAGAGCGTCTTTCTACACACCATTGCACAGTTAGTTCCATAAATTTGAATACAAGACTTCAGGCTGAAGGTAGAAGTTACACCAGCAAGCCAGCATCAAGAGCCCCTGGAAACAAATCCACAACAGTTCCTACAAGGCAATATGTCCAGTCTNATGGTCAATTTATCAAATACTTCAAACAGCTGAATGACCAGATGATCTATTAACTTTTTAAAGTATGCACTGGAAAACTGTTACCAAATAAGCACCACATTTTAGAAATATCCAGTGTAAAGCATCCATCCGAACTTTTCAAGGTAACTTTCAACGCATCACAAAACTTGTTCTACTTTATATAAAATGGTCTCCATTGATCTGATCATATCAGTTTATAAATTAAAGCATATAGTGGAACTCCAATGGAAACTGAGATCAATGATGTTTGCCACATCAAATTGATTGGAGAGGGCCTTAGACTTCTACAAAACATGCATCTTAATGAGAAGAAGCTAGCTTTTAAAATGGAAAGCAAATTACTGGTGTCACCTGCTGCACACAGGCAAATTTTGTTGTTATTATGATATGCTAAATGTCATTTATTCACTCTTTGCACTGTAATAGTCTGTATATAGAAATTTGCCTATAAAGCTCATTTACAAAATTCATGTCACCATAGACAGTAGAAACCCCCACCTTTCAATATTATTTTTATAACACATAAATATGACACACTTAAAACATTATGTGACTAATAACCACAAAACTAGCTTTATTTTGATACAATCGAGAAAAAGCAAAATTAAATCCTTCATCAAAATAAAGCATTCAAACAAATAAATTTAGTAGAAATCATTTAAAGCATTAATGTTCCACTTAATGCATTCCCTCGTACCGTCTATTGATAAGTAATATCGGGGCAGATAAACTTCCTCTGCCAAATTACCGTGAATGTCACTAAAACGTAAACGAAGATGGCGGATAAACAAATGGGGCCCACCTTCCAAGAGAATAAACCCAAAATAATGGAGCAACGAGTGCATCCCACGATTCAAAATCTTAATTAGTTGACTTCAAAGCTTAACCTGTCTCTGTAATTTACAATACAGCTCTATTAAGACTGAAGAAGAAGACTGATCTCATTAAAAAGAGGCCCAAAGCTAGGTGTCAGCTGAGAGATCCGAGTCTAATCGATGGGCCGGTGCCCTCCCACTATACATGTATATAAGTCCTCTCCTGTACAACAAACTCTACATCAACTGGAACATATATATTGGCCGATTAACAATTTAAGCAAAAAGTGCTTTTTGGAAGTCTGATCTTTTCCCTACCTTCTTAATCCTGAAGAAAAATTGGCCAACATCAAATAAAATTGACCAAGAAGACACAAATGTTGTCAATGCGGAAGCGGAACTTAATCCGCAAAGAAATAGTACTATACTATTGCGAAAAAATCTCTATTCTCGCTGCCTTTTGCATCTGTAATCAAATATTATGTTAAATATAAAATACTTCACTTAATGAAATATCTGTATGATGTGAAACACTCTTGTTAAAATTATGGAAAAGTGATATCCTTACACAACGAACTATTTACTTTGACCTTGAATATCGATCATGACTGATGCAAAAATAGGCGCGTAACTGAAATTAGGAAAAAATTATGAAAGCCGTGAACTGTTCAACAAAGTGGGCGAAGGCTCACTAATTATAAACCATTTCATTAAATATTTTGTTCATTTGATATAGTATTCCTCTATCATGCCACTGCGTAAATTTACGACAAAAAAAAAAATCATCATTGACAACTGCGACTGATAGATCTAACGTTATTGTGTCAGCTGTGACTAAGTCTACTGATTGCGTTGGCTGTATAAGCGTGAAAAATTAATGATATTTATTTTAAATCGAACATATTTTTTATTAGAAGCATATTGGCTTCTAAAAATATATACATGGTAGCTTTAAAAATCTCATTTTAAATCTACATAATTTGACTTGGGTTGACGAGGGATCTCATTCCTAAACTAGGTCACGGGGAATCCCCTAGAAAAATGGCTTCGGGTACAATGTTCGATGTTTCCAAAACAAAATTTCCAATTTCTTAGTTCATTTTGATGCCAGAATTTGGTCTTTTGTGTCGCCTCATTGCAGAAATAAGGCATTAATAACATTGGCAGGTGAGAATGAAGCTGTTTTAAAGGAAAGTGAAACAGAATAACGATTAAATTTCGTCATTTTAGTGTAGATACCCAGGCGTGCATGTACTTTCACTTTAGAAATAAGACGGCTGATAAGACTTCCATTTGTAATTCAAGTCCTGTAAGATGTTCCTGTTTGAGCATGGTCGAATAACTGCTGTTGCTCATTAGAGATTTAACATGTGATACAAAAATTAAGGATACACGTATATAATTAATGGTAGTATTATGAATTTTGAACAGCTAATTAAGTTTCTATTTCATGCAGATTTTAAGGCATTTCGACTGGCAATATGGATCTAGATGATCGTGGACAAACTCTGCACTTGTCTGTGTCAAACATCCCAACAGAAGCTACACGTGGAGAACTGTTTTCTTATTTTACTGAGGAACTTGGATACCCAGTTAAACATGTGCTGTATCCCATTGAGCCAGGAGAAGCAGTCGTCATACTTGATTGTTCTTTTCAAGGTATTTTTTCTGTTCTCTAGCTATAAACATGGCTTTGGAATGAAAGCATTGTATCAATATTTAAAGCAGGTTGTTTCAGTATTTTTCTCCTTTCTTAATTGTGTCATTATCATATTGTCCTTTAATGAAAATACCTGCATATATCTATTTTCAGATCTGCAAATAGAGAGCATCATTGAAGCAGGAGCACAATTGAAGGGACATAAATTAATTTTGAGTAAAACCCCTCAGGTATATATTTCTTTACTTTGAAAAAAATCTCGGAAAATCTTGCTCAATTTTATGCTTAGATACAAGACTAAGACTATTGTTAGCATTGATTTTTTTAAAAGATTTAATTTTTCCATGTATCACTGTGTTTGGTTATACTAGTTCATTATTACACATAACTTACAATTGAACCATGGTTGCAAAGGCTGTAGATTTACTTTGTGATATTTATCATATGCTTTTCAGGTGTTCCATAATTTGTTTGTCACCATTGACTTCCAAATGCATGAACTGATGACAGAAGAGTTTTTGCAGGAGTTAAAAGCAGAAACAGGAGTCACAGTAACCTACAGTGAAACTGATGATCAGTTTAGAATCCTTACAACTTGGCCACAAATCCAAATGGTTTACAACATGTTGGCACAGCTCTCCAAACAGAAAGTCGGTCAAGAATCACATGTATCAGCTTCACAAATAAAGCGCAGGAGACCACATTCAAGTGGCTCCATGCACAGACATAGGGCCACCTCAGAGCCTTCAGCAGGAGAGCGTCTTTCTACACACCATTGCACAGTTAGTTCCATAAATTTGAATACAAGACTTCAGGCTGAAGGCAGAAGTTACACCAGCAAGCCAGCATCAAGAACCCCTGGAAACAAATCCACAACAGTTCCTACAAGGCAATATGTCCAGTCTCCAGGAAGAAAGAGCCAGTTGAAAACAACTGATACCGGAGCAGTTACCAGATCTTTATCACTGGGAGAAGTACCAGTCAGCAGCCACATCTTCAAAGAGACTGGCAGAGATGTTATACATCCTATAGGGGAACATCCACCTCTGAGCATTTCCAAGGTTCCATTAACACTTAGAGGTAGAAGTCATTCTTTAGGTTCCCCTAGAGATGCTAAGAGTAACACTGATCCACTTCTTCCAGAGAGTCCAAGGCTGTACTTAAAGGAATGGAAGCCAGATCCCAAAGTTTCACAGTGGTTGTCTACAAACAGAAATAAACATTCAGCTCCCCCATCACAATCACATAAAATTACCACTGGACGCTTTCATCATGTAAAGTCAAGAATTCCTGTAGATGAAGAAAGAGAGTCAATACGATCAGTTCCTATGGATTTTAAATACCAGAGTAATGCAAGCGACTTTGGTACAGCACAAGGTGATGTCAAAGGAAGAAAGAACAGAGAAACTCTACAGAAGAGTTTGTTTCAGCCTTCCGATCACGAGAGCCAGTCATCATCCACTCGCCATTCAGAGGCATCTCAGATAGAAAATCAAAGCAACAGACACCCAGGCTATGGGGTTGATTATGCCACACATGTGACAATTTTATCAGACCAGTTTTCAAGTCTGCCATCGGACTTCACACAAAGATTTGACATGGAGGTCACTTCAATAGTATCTGATCAAATGTCAAGCAACACTGACAATACAAGAGAAAGCAGCCCAATAGAGTCTAGTGATGAAAGCACAATCCACACCGTTTCAACCATTGAGGACATGTCTGCAGGCCCGACTCCAAGTGATGGGAATAGAGAAAAAGAAAGCCCATTGTTTGTGGAGAAGATCACTACATCAGAATTTGAAATTAATTCAAGCTCGGAACCCTCTGAAGCCCAGACACATAACAAAGAAACTTCTCAAAGAAGAGATCAGCAGTTACCAAAATCATGTTTCAAAACAGAGGGCGAACCTTCATTGTCTTCAGTCAAAGAAAGACCTCAGATGTCACGAAGGATAGCAGCTACATTTGGTCAGCAACAAGGCACTGCACAAGTCAATCGAGCAACCATGAAAAACACAAGTATGGAAACAGTACCAGGGCAGAAAGATACACCAAAAACAAAATCCCAAGAAACAAATCAAAATACTTTGAGAAAAGAAATGGTTGTACATAGAAATAAACAAGAGTCACAGGAGTTTGACATACCCAACATTGAAGGCGTGGAGCCCGTCATGATGGAGAGAGATTTGTGGGATTTTGTACAGTATTTGCATTCGGAAAAACTTGACCAAATAAAAAATGCAAATGATGTTGAATTTGATATTGAGGATGTTGCTGAATTCCTCCAGTTTAGAGTGGTTCCAAACCAGAGCAGTACGACCAGAAAAGCACAGAGGGCCATGGAGGAGATATCTTGTCTCTACCAGAAGTGTTTTTCTATTTGTGTGAAAGAAGAAATAGAAATCCCTAAGACAGTTGATGGCAAGAAGTTAAAGAAAACTGTGGAGGATCTCAGAATGAAGTATCCTAAAACATTAATCAAAGAGATCAATGGAGGGCTGCATATTGTTGGTGGCAGAAGTGATGTCTTTCTGGCAAAGCACAGACTGTATGAAGCAGTTGGAATGAAAGCTGGCAGGCACAGAGATCCCATGCCACAACGGCTGTCACAAGAAAGAAATGAAACTGAGCATGGTGATGGCCGAGCATCTGAGAAGAATCGTGGACACACTAGCAACCAAGAGGTTGATGGAGCTGCAATAACCCATGAAGCTGATCAGTTAGACACCGATCTTTCTATGAGGGAAGAGATGACTGGAGTTCCCAAAGCTCCCAAAGAACATTACATTACTTACCAGGGGCTTCATCTTCTGGTGTATGAGGGAGATATCATTCAGGAATATGTTTCTGTCATTGTAAGTGCTGGTAATTCTCAGCTCATGAATGGTGGTGGAGTAGCTGGGGCCATATCTAGAGCAGCAGGTCCAGGCTTGGAGATGGAATGTTCAGAGTTCATAGAAGAGTATGGTAGTTTGCCCATGGGGGATGTCATGCACACCACTGCTGGTGGCACGTTAAAGTGTGAGTTTGTCATTCATGCTGTAGGGCCAGTATGGGATATAAATCATGAGCAGGAGTGTGAAGATGACCTGATGATGACCTTTTTAAAGTGTTTCAGATATGCATCGGAGAAGTTGAAAGCAAAAACCATGGCAACACCTCTTATTAGCTCTGGTAAGAACATGAAAAATTTCATTTGTAAGTTTTTTATGTCACCAAACATGATATTTAAGATATTCCCCATTTGTTGATGTGATTCTTTTAAACTTCACATATATATTGTATATTAATTGCAAATAATCTGTACATTAACATGTATGATAAACAAGTATCTAACAATGATCCGGTATTATATCTGTTCAGGTATCTTTGGAATGCCATTGGACATCTGTACACGAGCCTTGATGCATGCCATTGACACCTACAGCAGACAGTATGGACTTGAAGGACCTCTGACAGAGATACATGTAGTCAACCTAGACACTGTAGGAACACTTTCCATTCAGAACACATTTTCCCAGTACTTTAATAATATCCATGATGTGTCACAAAATATGATTGATAACTATCCTAAAGAAGGGTCATCAGTTGATCCTTGCATTGAACCAAAACCAGAATATAAGGGTGGGCAAAATGTGAGAGGCGATNAAACAGTACCAGGGCAGAAAGATACACCAAAAACAAAATCCCAAGAAACAAATCAAAATACTTTGAGAAAAGAAATGGTTGTACATAGAAATAAACAAGAGTCACAGGAGTTTGACATACCCAACATTGAAGGCGTGGAGCCCGTCATGATGGAGAGAGATTTGTGGGATTTTGTACAGTATTTGCATTCGGAAAAACTTGACCAAATAAAAAATGCAAATGATGTTGAATTTGATATTGAGGATGTTGCTGAATTCCTCCAGTTTAGAGTGGTTCCAAACCAGAGCAGTACGACCAGAAAAGCACAGAGGGCCATGGAGGAGATATCTTGTCTCTACCAGAAGTGTTTTTCTATTTGTGTGAAAGAAGAAATAGAAATCCCTAAGACAGTTGATGGCAAGAAGTTAAAGAAAACTGTGGAGGATCTCAGAATGAAGTATCCTAAAACATTAATCAAAGAGATCAATGGAGGGCTGCATATTGTTGGTGGCAGAAGTGATGTCTTTCTGGCAAAGCACAGACTGTATGAAGCAGTTGGAATGAAAGCTGGCAGGCACAGAGATCCCATGCCACAACGGCTGTCACAAGAAAGAAATGAAACTGAGCATGGTGATGGCCGAGCATCTGAGAAGAATCGTGGACACACTAGCAACCAAGAGGTTGATGGAGCTGCAATAACCCATGAAGCTGATCAGTTAGACACCGATCTTTCTATGAGGGAAGAGATGACTGGAGTTCCCAAAGCTCCCAAAGAACATTACATTACTTACCAGGGGCTTCATCTTCTGGTGTATGAGGGAGATATCATTCAGGAATGTGTTTCTGTCATTGTAAGTGCTGGTAATTCTCAGCTCATGAATGGTGGTGGAGTAGCTGGGGCCATATCTAGAGCAGCAGGTCCAGGCTTGGAGATGGAATGTTCAGAGTTCATAGAAGAGTATGGTAGTTTGCCCATGGGGCATGTCATGCACACCACTGCTGGTGGCACGTTAAAGTGTGACTTTGTCATTCATGCTGTAGGGCCAGTATGGGATATAAATCACGAGCAGGAGTGTGAAGACGACCTGATGATGACCTTTTTAAAGTGTTTCAGATATGCATCGGAGAAGTTGAAAGCAAAAACCATGGCAACACCTCTTATTAGCTCTGGTAAGAACATGAAAAATTTCATTTGTAAGTTTTTTTATGCCACCAAACATGATATTTCAGATATTCCCCATTTATTGATGTCATTCATTTAAACTTCACATGTACATATGTATTGTATATTAAATGCAAATAATGTGTACAATAACATGTATGATAAACTACTGGTAGTATCTAATAATGATCCAGTATTATTTCTGTTCAGGTATCTTTGGAATGCCATTGGACATCTGTACACGAGCCTTGATGCATGCTATTGACACCTACAGCAGACAGTATGGACTTGAAGGACCTCTGACAGAGATACATGTAGTCAACCTAGACACTGAAGGAACACTTTCCATTCAGAACACATTTTCTCAGTACTTTAATAATATCCGTGATGTGTCACAAAATATGATTGATAACTATCCTAAAGAAGGGTCATCAGTTGACCCTTGCATTGAACCCAAACCAGAATATAAGGGTGGGCAAAATGTGAGAGGTGATGAAACTGGCCGGTCAAAATATGAATTAATAGATGCACAGTTTGATGCCATGGCTCAAGATTTGGCATCATCTGGGCAACTGTTGCATTCTAAACATCACCAGGCCTTTCATCGGGAATCTAAACTTGCTGGTGGGGAAAGAGCTGTGAGACGTACTGACAAAAAGAAATCCAGCACTTGTGGCTACTGTCATAAAGAAATGGATATTGAATTCAAAAAGGAATGTGGACATCATTTATGCCTTGGATGTTACAACACATTTTCATCTCATGTGGGATGTCCAGTCTGTGTTAAACATTAAAATATTCTTATTAAAAGTTTATTATTTATTTATTTATTTATTTATTTATTTATTTATTTTTGGTGATACTATATGCCTTCTCTAGGAAAGACATTGCAAAAGTAGATAATTTTTTATCTATATAATATATTCATCTTGATGCTATTTATCATGCAAAAAACATTATATAAGTCCTATGTTGATATACCATGCAGTAGTGGCCAAACAGTAAAATATTTCACATGCACAACAAAAGAAGAAATTTAGCCTATCTTCTACAGTAACAAGTGATGCTTACTTGATTATTCATTGCACTGTATATGATTGTATATGTTGACAGTAACATTTTTTTTTTTTTTTTTTGCCTTTCACCTACTTACTTATTATCCAATATATGAGCTTTATTCATTTTACAGGCCTTATAACTTTGTATTCTATATATATATTGCACTAAAATTGAATGATGCTGTACATTATTATGCTTTTGGTCAATAATCAAAATATATACATTTGCATTTTGGTCTTTGATTATTTGACTCTTAAAATTGTTTATGTGTCAAATCTTAAGGAGACTGATTGATTGTACATTTTCTGTTGTACTGTACAGATGATCTTGTTAGAGTATTTGAAATTATGATAGATACATATGTACTACATAGTTGAAATATATATTTTATTTGATATATTTGGATGTGGTAACAACTGAACTGTGCTGGCATTTAATCTGAGATGTGATTGATTTGCTAACTTTCAATGTGGCTAAATTTAAAATAAAATTGATGTTTGACAGCAAGACTTCAACATTTTATTTATTTGTTTTAGCACCTTTTGCAATTATTGCCTATACTGTAATGCAAGCTATACAAATAAAAATGTGATCTTTTAAAAGGTTTGAACCCCTTTGACGGTAACACTGTTTGGTATACACCGGGGGTACCTGCTGTGCATGTTAGGGGTGGGGGCCAACATGGTTTCTCATAAAGTAAATGTTAATTGGACGTTCAAGACTGCTTACCCTGTTTCATTAATGAAGAAAAAAAATCATATCTAAGGAGAATACTTCTATTGTCAATTGTTCAATATGCTGTTGTGGTTTCAACAACTGGCAAAACTACTAGATGAAGTTCTCGGGAACACAATGAGGCCGTGATTTGGCCTCGTTTTGAGCATATGACCGCATTGGGGAATTCCTGCTTACTGTAGAGCTGGGCAGTCGTTTTATGTGTCCCGGAGGTCTACTTTTTTTCTTGACGGTAACTATTCCAATCATTTTATTTTACACTATACAGCATTGACTTAACATGTGTAGTAGACTATTGCATTTCATTTCACTTCATGCACTATGAATATTCACTACTATTGTATGTAAATGTTACTTTCGCTTTCTTCAACGGCGGCAAACATGGACGGTTACATTTTTTCTCAAAGCGAAACGGACTCTCACACCAGGTATGCTGAAATTAGATTGTGTGGTTTTTGTACTTTTATGTCAGGGGTATCTTTTTTCAGAATTGAGAGTGATAAAATCCAACCAAGTGATCAAGACCTTCAATTTGAGGATCAATACAGGTTAGTACTTTATTATTTTTTCCACTTAGTTACGTGGGACTCTTTTACTTGGAGTATAATATAGCTGTAGGATTGTTAGACGTTATGACATGTCTTCTGTTTTGCATTTTACATGAATACCATTGTGTTCCGCCACATCAGTCCTACAGTTACTGGGGGTATACTGGTATCTGTAGAAAGTAATACTTGGTGAATTAAGACAAAATTTGTTCTACCCCTTTAACATATTATTTAATACTACATACTATTATTAACATGTATTTCTTTGCATTTGTTGGCACAATAGGACGCAGGTAAAATCTCCCTGTGCTGCTGTCAGCAACAACAAATTAACTTTGCCTATATTGAGTTGGTTTTGAAGTGAAATATACTGTATATTATATAATGTCAATGTCATTGGTGCCAAATATCTTTGAAGACAAGAATCCTGTCAAATAATGTAAATCTTTTTGTCCCATTTCAGTGTTGACAACTTAACATGGCTAAAGTAACAACACAGCAGTTTGTTGTTTCGGACATTCCCAGGGGAGTTGAGTCTGAGGATTTGACAAATGCATTATCTAATGCTATTAATGATGAGGTGTCTATTAAGTTCTTCAGTCAACTTATGGGCAGAGCTGAACTGATCACAGAATCATTTCATCCAATAGGTTTGTTATCATTTCCATTTGAAAAAAAATTCATATCTTGAAATCAGAAAGAAAGTAATTTTATCAAAATGTCAAAAACAGTCTGAAAGTTTATTTGTCCTATGATTTATTAATCCAAATGTTGATACATGTAAGTCTGAAGAAGGTACATTGTCAAGTAGAAAAATTAACAATGGGAAAATTGCTCCCATGGTTCAAAGGCACTTTCTTCAAAAGGTTTTTGTAAGAGACATCATGTTTTTAACATCACAAATGGAATTATTCCTTTAATTATTTCTCTAATAACAATTGTTAGTGAATTTCAAAACAATGAACATCTGTTAAAGAGACAAAATAAAAAGGTAAAAAGTTCAGATGACTGATACTTCTGGTCTATTTTAATAAGGTTAAAACCTTTGAAACATTGAAGTTTTGGAATATCAAGATTCACCCATTCCATGAGATGTAAAGTATAGACACTTGATTAATGACTTGATTTTCTTGCAAATTTCAGCTTCTATTTGTCTCACACTAGGATGGCAAACTGTCACCTTTCAACCCCAGGTTAGTATTAAGAGATTCTTTGTCTTGCAGTTTTCAAATTCAAGCATTATTTAGTCATTATTTAATCTTATAGTTAAGATTAAGCATGCTGCATGCTCCATATGCAAAATTATCACTGACACTGTTTTTTTATTATTCACAATTTTTTGTTCAAAGCATATGTATGTAAGACAAGTTGTTTAACCAAATTAAACATCAAATGGTAATCATTATACTACACTTGGGCACAGTTTGATATGTTAGAAGTTTCTTTTTTGGTTAGATATTTTTTTGAAGTTTCTTCTATTAGGTCTTTGGTCAAGCAACTGTGGTGCTTGAAGAGCCTGTGCTTGAGCTTTTATCTGATTGCCCCCTTAAGAAGAAGCTTGAAGAGTTGCATGTGGATATTGATGAGTGCTCCATCTGTGGAAGCCTATGTTCATTGCAAGCAGCTGAACGCATGATCCTGCAGCATTTAATGGAACCACAGTCTGCAATGAATAGTGCCTCTCAGCAGGGTGCACTCAACAATTTAGATGATGATGGAATTGAAACAAGTACAAAAGAAACTGTGAGTGGAAAGATGAAGCCTATGCGTAAAACACCTGAAGTGAAGCAAAATCTCACGGATGTCAATTCTGAGAAAAACTTTAAACTGAAGAAAGAAAAGCATGGGTCAATAGAAAAAAGCGGAAAGCCAATGAAGGCATCCCCTCAAGCAGAAGCCAATATTGAATCTTCGAGTCAAGATGGTGGTTTAAGTTCTAGTGAGAGTACTCACTCTCAGGAGGCAAGATACACCCCTGACAAATATTCAGATTCCTCCGTAAGAGATAATAAAGATGGCAGTTACATGGTGTCAGCAAGGCTGAATGCAAAAACTAATTTGTCATTGCACACTCAAGGGGAGGAATACCAGTCACTGGGTAATGAGGGGAAGACACGGATGTGCAGAGGTCAAATAACAGGCATGGGCTATGATCATCTTGATAATGATAGGTACAACAGTGACAACTTTTCAGTTATTGGTGAAAATAGTGCAGAAGTTGCAATTGCCCCTTCGTATTATGGGGCCACAGCAGGATCAGAGGATGAGCATCTTTATAGCGTAAAAGTTGAAGAAACGGGTCAGGAGACCAAAGCTATCGAATCCAGAATGACAGAAAAAAAAGGCAGTCTTGGGTTCTTAGGTGCTGTAGGACCTCTGGATAAGGGTTTGGTAGATTGGGTGCTTGAGAGGCGAAAACAAGAGATGACAAAATTTATGGATGAGCATGGGATCCAACTGCAGTTTGAGGTTGAGAGTCAAGGGAGGGTTTTGGCCAACATTTTTTGTCTACACGCTAGTAGTGGATGTAATCCAAAAACAGTGATTGATAAACTAACTGCATTATTTCAGGGAGTCTACAGAGCAGATTTTTATGGTCCTCATGTTTCAAGTGAATCATTGGACAGCTTAGTTTCAAAAGCAAAAGACATTTGTTCAGCAGTCACCGTGAAAGTGGAAAATTATGTGTTGTCTTTGGCTGGCCAAAAAGATGATGTTCAGAGGACTCATAAGGTGCTGTCTCAAGATATAATTAAATTTGGATATCCACTAGAATCTCCAGGAGTCCGTCCCTTTGATGTACCAGCCACTGGAGACAAGGCCATGCATAATTCTGATCTACCAAGGAAACTTTCGAACACAAGTCCTGCTGATGTTAGTCATGATCCAATTCCTGTGGATAGAGACATTTGGGATTATCTTAGTGCATTCCATGGGGACAGGCTCAAAGATATTAGAAGAAAATACAGTGTTTCATTTCAAGTCATTACAGCTGTTGACTCGTATATGCTTCACCTGGTCAGTAATTATAATAGAAGGCCACAGGTTCCTGATGCTGCATTTGAGGAAGTAGCATCAATTTATCAGGAATTATTTGGACGATTGAAAAAGGAAGTGGTAAATCTAGAAGGTTCCCAAAATTCAAGGAAAGACGCAAGCATTTCGACAGCTAAAAAGATGTTTCCAAATGTTTTGTTCAGAGATGGGGGCTCGAAGAAACTTTCATTACTTGGACCTGGTAGTGATGCTTTTAAAGCAAAGTCATGGTTAAGAAAACAACTAGGTCTTATACCTCAAAGATCGAGTTCACATAACAGACAGAAACGAAAGGATAAGAGTCCAGAGAGAAGTAGGCCAGCAACACACCCTGAAAATAGTGGTTCAAGAGGCAGGCAGTCTAGAAGGGACAGCAACAGTTGTAATGCCAAGAGACATACATTTTACACCAATGAAGACATCACATTAGTTGTCTATAAAGGAGATATCACAAAGGACGATGCTGATGTAATAGTCAGTGCTGCCAATAACCTGTTGAACAATTCCGCAGGTGTAGCAGGGGCCATCTCCAAAGCTGCAGGTGGAAGTATGTCAAAACTGGAAAGGGAGTGCCTGAGCCATATAAGCAAGTATGGTCAATTATCAACTGGGCGAGCTATGCATACTAGTGCTGGGGGACAGCTTCTCTGTAAGAAAGTCATTCATGCAGTAGGCCCTATGTACACAAGGAGTGGCAAGCAGTTTCATGCAGATTTGTATAGGACCTTCTTAGAGGTCCTAAAATATGCTGACAAATTTCTTTCAGCACATTCTGTGGCCATACCATTGATAAGTTCAGGTGGGTATCATCTTCATTAGACATAGCAATTCCTTCTTTTGTCCACTCAGGTGCTAGCTTATCTGAATGTCTCCATCAGGCTATTTTTTCCTCAGTTTTGTTTTTCTGTAAGATCATTTTGATTACAATTAAGATGCAAGAAACTAGAAATGAAGATATTAGTACTGACTATTACTGCGAAAGTAAGTATGTTTTGGTCTTTTTAATAGGGAAAATTATGAACTTTATAGATACTGTATTTTTTTAAAAAAATAAGATCATACCTATGAAGTGTTAGCAACAAAATTCAAAAGCAGGTAACCTTATAGTAAAAGTACTATAAATGCTACACAGAAATAAATTTTTACTAATATCAAAATTATGTATCTGAAAGCTTATTAATTTTTCCCATTGAAAAGATCAAGTCATTACTTTAACAAGTAAGATTTAGTAAAAAGAAGGAGGATCTAGACTATTAAGAAAGTATATTTATGACAGTACTTATATTCCTTGCTCCCTTATTTTTGTTTAATTCATTTTCCTTAAACGGGATACACTTGTTCATTTTGGCCAAAAATTGGATTTTTGTAGCAATTTTTGTACAAATATTTTTATTTTCATTTTTAAAAAATCAGTAATTTATTTCAAACAAGAGAGGTTTTTCCTATTTCCTTCTTTGCAGGAATATCTGGAATGCCAGTAGATGACTGTGCTTCTGCACTTGCCCAAGCCATTCATTCTTTTAGCAGACAGAGAGGTCCTAAAGCACTCAAGGAGATACGATTGGTAAACATCAGTGATAAAGCTGTTGCAGCAATACAGGCAGCTTTTAATGGCATATTTCTCACAGATATTTCTACACATGAAACCAAGAGTTCTGGAAGTGATACCACTAAATGTGATGTGAGGAGTGCTCAAAGAAACCCTCCCAGAAAAGTTGTGGAAGATGAAGTAGGAGCTGCAGATGCAAATCCTGGATCAGTGACAGCCACCAAATACTGGGATGAAGGTAGTGGAGCTCAGCAGAATGGATTAACCAACAAGAGTATAGATCACTTCTCCAAAAGTTCTTTGCTGACTGACAGAAGTGATACGTATAGGTCACCAGTGGAGCATGAGAGAGTGGGAGTTAGGGATTGTGACAGTTCGATACCAGAGAGGGGATATTTTTTCAAAAAGGCTAAGTACACAGGTGCACTCCAACAGCAGCAGAAACAGTGATGTGCATGGGCCTCTTGGGATTGGTATGGTCCTTGGGGATGGATTTTTTTTTATTATTTTACACATTGCAATTACTGCTATCTCCTCCTAGACCATTGGAGTGAGGAGGTTGAAACTTATAGAAATGATAAACCTGTCATCAAGGATTTGCATGGGCACTTTGGAATTTTAGATCCCATTCCCATACCTAGATTGATCTAACAGGATTGATCCATCTCCGAGGTTTTTTTTTGTTTTTGCTTAATTGCTACTGAAGGTGCTAAAAGATAGTATAATTACCCCCTAACAGCTTTAGTAGGCATGCCAGACATCAGAGCTGCTTTAGGATATTGCCCCCCCCCCCCCAACTCCTTATTTACTGCCATTCTTTTGGGTAATAAACAAATCTTCAGTGTTCAGTGACAAAATTAATTTACATTTAAGCATATGTAATCTTATGGGTGATGTCATAATTGCAATTTTGCAGTGAAAATAAAAAAAAATAGTTTCTCAAATTTTACCTTTACCTGAGCACCCACAATCACCATTTCAATGATGATTTATTGACACCATTAAGTACTCCAAAACCCTGCCAGTGATTTTCCTTGAAAGTCTTGGTTCAGATTTTATCATTGATAAAGCAAAATAATGCCCTTGTTTGCTGAAAACCTGTAATTAGGAGCTAATAAGTCCATAAAAAAAAGCATTTAAACCAAAACGACAGCACGGGATTTAGCTCATACATTTGTGGTAAACTCTGCCAATTTTCTTGATAAAATCATGTTCAGAGATGAAGTTATGCCCATTACCAATTCCCATCTCACCTCAAAATAGAAAGGTGTTAAATTGACAATTAAAGTTTGAGTTGCCTANAATCAGTACCAGGGCAGAAAGATACACCAAAAACAAAATCCCAAGAAACAAATCAAAATACTTTGAGAAAAGAAATGGTTGAACATAGAAATAAACAAGAGTCACAGGAGTTTGACATACCCAACATTGAAGGCGTGGAGCCCGTCATGATGGAGAGAGATTTGTGGGATTTTGTACAGTATTTGCATTCGGAAGAACTTGACCAAATAAAAAATGCAAATGATGTTGAATTTGATATTGAGGATGTTGCTGAATTCCTCCAGTTTAGAGTGGTTCCAAACCAGAGCAGTACGACAAAAAAAGCACAGAGGGCCATGGAGGAGATATCTTGTCTCTACCAGAAGTGTTTTTCTATTTGTGTGAAAGAAGAAATAGAAATCCCTAAGACAGTTGATGGCAAGAAGTTAAAGAAAACTGTGGAGGATCTCAGAATGAAGTATCCTAAAACATTAATCAAAGAGATCAATGGAGGGCTGCATATTGTTGGTGGCAGAAGTGATGTCTTTCTGGCAAAGCACAGACTGTATGAAGCAGTTGGAATGAAAGCTGGCAGGCACAGAGATCCCATGCCACAACAGCTGTCACAAGAAAGAAATGAAACTGAGCATGGTGATGGCCGAGCATCTGAGAAGAATCGTGGACACACTAGCAACCAAGAGGTTGATGGAGCTGCAATAACCCATGAAGCTGATCAGTTAGACACCGATCTTTCTATGAGGGAAGAGATGACTGGAGTTCCCAAAGCTCCCAAAGAACATTACATTACTTACCAGGGGCTTCATCTTCTGGTGTATGAGGGAGATATCATTCAGGAATATGTTTCTGTCATTGTAAGTGCTGCTAATTCTCAGCTCATGAATGGTGGTGGAGTAGCTGGGGCCATATCTAGAGCAGCAGGTCCAGGCTTGGAGATGGAATGTTCAGAGTTCATAGAAGAGTATGGTAGTTTGCCCATGGGGGATGTCATGCACACCACTGCTGGTGGCACGTTAAAGTGTGAGTTTGTCATTCATGCTGTAGGGCCAGTATGGGATATAAATCATGAGCAGGAGTGTGAAGATGACCTGATGATGACCTTTTTAAAGTGTTTCAGATATGCATCGGAGAAGTTGAAAGCAAAAACCATGGCAACACCTCTTATTAGCTCTGGTAAGAACATGAAAAATTTCATTTGTAAGTTTTTTATGTCACCAAACATGATATTTAAGATATTCCCCATTTGTTGATGTGATTCTTTTAAACTTCACATATATATTGTATATTAATTGCAAATAATCTGTACATTAACATGTATGATAAACAAGTATCTAACAATGATCCGGTATTATATCTGTTCAGGTATCTTTGGAATGCCATTGGACATCTGTACACGAGCCTTGATGCATGCCATTGACACCTACAGCAGACAGTATGGACTTGAAGGACCTCTGACAGAGATACATGTAGTCAACCTAGACACTGTAGGAACACTTTCCATTCAGAACACATTTTCCCAGTACTTTAATAATATCCATGATGTGTCACAAAATATGATTGATAACTATCCTAAAGAAGGGTCATCAGTTGATCCTTGCATTGAACCAAAACCAGAATATAAGGGTGGGCAAAATGTGAGAGGCGATGAAACTGGCCGGTCAAAATATGAATTAACAGATGCAAAGTTTGATGCCATGGCTCAAGATTTGGCATCATCTGGGCAACTGTTGCATTCTAAACATCACCAGGCCTTTCATCAGGAATCTAAACTTGCTGGTGGGGAAAGAGCTGTGAGACGTACTGACAAAAAGAAATCTAGCACTTGTGGCTACTGTCATAAAGAAATGGATATTGAATTCAAAAAGGAATGTGGACATCATTTATGCCTTGAATGTTACAACACATTTTCATCTCATGTGGGATGTCCAGTCTGTGTTAAACATTAAAATATTCTTGTTAAGAGTTTATTATTTATTTATTTATTTATTTATTTATTTATTTATTATTTTTTTTTGTGATACTATATGCCTTCTCTAGGAAAGACATTGCAAAAGTAGATAATTTTTTTATCCGTATAATGTATTCATCTTGATGCCATTTATCATGCAAAAAATGTTATATAAGTCCTATATTGATATACCAAGCAGTATAGTACGTGGCCCAACAGTAAAATATTTTACATGCACCATGATGCAAGACAAAAGAAGAAATTTAGCTTATCTTCTGCAGTAACAAGTGATGCTTACTTGATTATACATTGCACTGTATATAACTGTATATGTTGACAGTAACTTTTTTTTTTTTTTTTTTTTTTTTGCTTTTCACCTACTTTTTATCCAATATAAGCTTTATTCATTTTACAGGCCTTAACTTTGTATTCTATATTGCAATAAAATTGAATGATGCTGTACATTATTATGCTTTTGGTCAGTAATCAAAATATATATATGTTTGCATTTTGGTCTTTGATTATTTGACTCTTAAAATTGTTTATTCTATGTGTCAAATCTCAAGGGGACTGATTGATTGTACATTTTCTGTTGTGCAGATGATCTTGTTAGAGTATTTGAAATAATGATAGATACATATGTACTACATAGTTGAAATATATATTTTATTTGATATATTTGGTTGTGGTAACAACTTTGAACTGTGCTAGCATTTAATCTGAAATGTGTAATGAAAAAGATTGATTTGCTATAACTTCCAATTATAATGTGGCTAAATTTAAAATAAAATTCATGTTTGACAGCAAGACTTCAACTTTCTATTTATTTATTTTAGTATCTGTTGCAGTTATAGCCTATACTGTGATGCAAACTATACAAATGAAAATGTGATTTTTAAAAGGTTTGAAACACTTTAACAGCAACACTCAATTCTGCTTGGTACCTGCTGTGCATGTCAGGGGTGGGGGTCAGAAAGTAAATGTCAATTGAACGTTCAAGACTGCTTACGCTGTTGCATAACGAGGAAAAATTATATCTAAAGAGCATACTTCTATTGTCAATTGTTCAATATGCTGTTGTGGTTTCAACTTAGGTAAAGCTAGGATCCCACTGGCAAAAATACCAGCTGAAACTCTGGCGCAAACTTTCCGTGTCCATCCCAGTCTTTTCAAATAAAGTTTTTTTAGAGCAGAAATGTTCACAGCAGAATAATGAGCTGTTGCTCTAATGACTGTGAATACAAAATTTGAACAGAATTAAGCCACAGCGGTGATTATAAACCACAATCTTATTTTCTTAAGACGGGAACAAAATGAGACCGTGACATTGGCCTCGTTTTGAGCATATGACCGCATTGGAGAATTTCCCTGCTTGGCTGTTGAGGTGGGCAGACATTTTATGTGAAAATTGTCTCGGGGGTGTATTTTTTTTCTTGTCACTACTATATCGGTAAGTATTCCAATCATTATATTTTAAACTTTACAGCAGTGACGTAACCTGTGTAGTAGACTATTGCATTTATTTGCACTTTATGTACCATGGATATTCAATATTGTATGTAAACGGTACTTTCGCTTTCCTCTCAAGGGCGGCAAACATGGACGGTTACAGTTTTAAAACAAACTGACATTTTCTCTCAGAATTAAACGGGCTCTCACACCTGATATGCTAATCTTAGATAATGTGATATCTTTAGATTTTCTGTCAATGTTATCTTTTTTCAGAACTGAGAGTGATAAAATCAAACCAAGCGATCTAATTTGGTCCTTAATACAGGTTGGTCCTCTATTTTTTCATTAACTAAGTTGAGGGGGGATCTTTTACTAGGAGTATAATATAACTGTTGTAGCATTGTTGGACATTATGGTATGTCTTCTGTTTTGCATTTTATGTGAATACCATTATGTTTCACCACAGCAGTCATACTGTACTGTAGTACTCAGTAGTATGTAAATACATGTAAATGTGCCTCAAAAATATCTGTAGAAAAGAATGCTTGTTTAATTAAGACAATATTTGATCTACTTTTTAATTTCACACATGCTGTATGTACTTATAATATTATTAGTCCAAGAAGAGACTTTTCGCAATATTTCTTTGCATTTGCTGACAACAAGGACTTAATAACATAAGTCAATACAGTACATGTATATATATATGGCTATGCAAATTTATGCATGTGTAGCATATTAAGTAATATATATATTAGAAATACCGGTACATGTAGACCTTTATCTGTATAAGGGGGGCATGATGGAAATAGCTAATTTATGATAAAATATCAACCAGTGTCTCTCAAATGCTGACAATAAGAAATTTAGAAAAGACCAAAACATATACCCGGCCAAAACTTGGAACTTGTGAACATGTAATATAATAATTGTGCTGTAACAGCCTTTGAGAATGTGCAAAAGTGGTTTTTTCATTTCTTTAAACTTTTCTTCTTTTCTTTTTTTTTTGGTTATTTTAGCCTTTTTTTTCTTTCTTTTGCATTAATGGTGTTGTTGTGTTTGTTTTCATTTATGTGAAAAAAGAACTTGGTGAAATCTCTCTGTACTGCTGTTACAGTAACAACAGCTAATTAAAAGCTGCTTGTCTCTGCCTCATGTTGAATTGTTTTGGAAGTGAAAAATAATGTCATTGCTGCCAAATTTCTATGCTAGAGTACAATGGCAGATTAATAATCTGACAAATAATGTGTGCTTTTTTGGTCCCATTTCAGTAATGACAACCCAACATGGCTAAAGTGAAAACACGGCAGTTTGTTGTATTGGATATTCCAGAGGGAGTGAAGTCCAAGGATTTGAAAGATGCTTTAGCATTTGCTATTAATGATGAGGTGTCTGTTGAATTCTTTAGTCAACTTGTGGGCAGAGCTGAACTAACCACAGAATCCTGTCATCCAATAGGTTTGTTATCATTCCATTTGAAGATAAAATTAATATAATCTTGAAATCAGAATGAAAGTATTAGTATTTTTATCAAAGATGCCCAAACAAACCAACAGTTTATTTGTCCTGTGATTTATTAATCATTTACTTGTCCAGAGGTTGATTAGTCTCACCATCATTGATCCAAAGGTTGATAGTTCTGGATATTGTACAAGTAGAAAAATTACCAATAATTGAAAAACTGCTGCCATGGTTTGAAGGCACTTTCTTCAAAAGGTTATTGCAAGAGACATCCTATTTTTATGTTAACAACATCACAAATGGAATTATTCCTGTTCTCTAATAAAAATTGTTATTTCAAAACAATGAGCATCTGTCAAAGAGACAAAATAAAAAGGTAAAAAGTTCAGATAAGTGATACTTCTGGTTGATCAACCTTTGGACCATTGAAGTTTTGTGATATCAAGATTCACCCATTCCGTCAGATGTAAAGAATACGCACATTGTAGTATTTATAACTTCATTTTCTTGCAAATTTCAGCTAATATACAACTAAGACTTGGAGAGCAAACTGTCACCTTTCAACCCCAAGTTAGTGTTAAGAGATTCTTTGTCTTGCAGTTTTCAATTTCAAGCATTATTTTGTAAATAATATTTAAGATTAAGCATGCACTTAAAATTTTTATTGCTCCATATGCAAAATTATCACACTGTGTTATAACAGGGTATGAAATTCGTATAAATTTGCATGGCTTTGAAAAGTTGCCAGCCCTGACCAAAACTAGCCAGTCCTATTTTTTAAAAAAATTACCTGATTAAACCAATTACAGGTAAGAACGATATTGAAACAAGGACTCTTAGCCTCAAAGTGGATTTATTCAAGTAGATTCTTTGCTGTCAGTTCCGAAACGTTAAGCTCTGAACCCAAATCAGAAGTCTGATTCACTGCATGTGACTGTCATAGTCAGAGTCTAGTTGCATAACCCACTTGTTTTCCATGATGGCACAACTGATCTTTTCCTTTTGCAGGGCTAGACACTAACTTTAATGAGCACCTGTCCTTTGGACAAGTGGATAAATTTGACATGTCCTATTTTGAATCCAATCTGTCCAACAAAACCAAATTTTTTTCCATTCATACCTCTCGGTGAACTTTGTAAACATAAATATGTGTAGTCATACATGTAATGTATTTATTACGGTAACCAAGATATTCAGTCAAATGAGCCTGGAAAATGCAGTGGATTTATTTTCAGATAAAGTTTTTTTTTTATACTTGTGAACTCCTGAATATTTAATCTTGCATAGAAGTCTGTATTGCGAATACAAAAACAATTTTCCGGTGGAGGTATAAACATTTATTTACACACGTCTTGACACTAAATGATGACGGTGAACTGAAATAATTGAAACAAATGAAACAAATGAAAGAATAAACAAATATAAATTTCAATTTAATACAAATATCACAGTAAAGAAATTACAATAAAACACATATATCAAATAACTAAATACATACATAACAATGCTGCCTCCACTCTTTCGCGTACAGTACTAGGCGTGTTCCAACCATGACAATACATGGTAACGTTTTATTACCACTCAACAGAACACCAATCATCCAACATATGAGGGCGCCACTCACACCAAGACAAGACAACACAAAGTGAACATGACAAACAACACAAACAAACGAAACAAAAATTGCCGACGACACTGTCAGCAACAGTCTGATTTAACATGGTTTTGATCGGGGCTTTTCCCAGGGTTTGGGGTACAGGGTCCACTTATTGTAAATTTGAAATTTGATAACAGATTCACATGAAGTTAAACCAAGTCCTAAAAAATTTAAAATACTATGAGCGGGAGGTGGGGGGGGTAGGGGCAGTGTTATATTATTTTATTAAAATATTCGAAATTTATTATATTTGAATAAATGTCATTAAAAATTAAAGAATATTTATTGTATAATAGTTTACTTATATAAATATCACTAATATTAAAGTTTTTTAATTGATATTAATATTAACAATTTGCTTTCTTTAGGGGTAACATGTGTTTGATTTTTTTTAAATATATGAATTAAATAAAATCAGTCAAAATTTCCCCTTCTTTTCACTTAAATTCTCATATTTTTATTAATTTTCTTCCTTGCATCATTCAGTATCACAATTTTGACAGCATTGCTAATTTATCCAATTCCAGCACTAAATTTTGAACTGTAAATAACACAGGTGGTGCTAGAGTCATTAAATAAAACATCTTACAAAATTTCAGTTTATACAAATAAACAACATTTCAACAAGATCTTCAGTCCTAACTTTCCAACTTCAAATGGTTGTGAGGGGATAGTGTGCAACACATTTGATTGACAGGCAGTATGTTGCCTTGACAACAAACTAGATACTACCAGTTCATCCAGTCCTATCTGGCTGTTGTACCCAGTACTTGTGTAGTTTCTATTTTAAAAACGGTCTTTATTACTAGAGCACGTAGATTTTAAAACAAATGAATATTCAGTTGTGAATAAATTTTGTCTTGTGAAGTTCTGGAAGGTGTTCACTTTCATAATTTGGCGGTAAGTTTGCTTAGACTTTGTTTTGGGACCACGTGTTTTGTACCAATGTAGGTCACTCTTTTTAATGCCATCCAGGAGGAGACAAAAAGACGTTAGTATGCAACAAAAATTTCTTTTTCAAGATTTTTGTTCTTAAGTTCTGATAAAACATAACCTGTCCGTCTGACAGCCCACCCTGCAAATTCACTTTTCCGAACTTAATTTTTACCTGTGGAGCCCTGCTTTGGTGTCATCATACACTTTATTTGACTGTTTGATAACTTTTCTTACGTGCTGGAGCATCACATTCATTGTTAGCACCAAAATACTTACAGAGAGTAGACTGCGACAGGGGTAATCCTGACTGCGGAATCTTGTATAGTCCACGTGCGTCGTGACTTAATATTTTTTTATGAGAAAGACATCGTACAATTACAGATTATAGAAGAATCAAAACTTAAACTGCGTAATTAGACGAGATTGTGTTGTTCCGAACTTGAATGACCACACATCGTTCGTTATTTGTCTCGTAAACAAGCGTATAAATGCCGCGTTTGATACTTTGTATCAGACGTTTCATAACACAGTGAAGGGTCTTTGCACAAGGCATGACGGGGAAAAAGGTGAAACAAGCATGTATGACCTACTTTCGGTTTTCGTTCATTTGTTTCGAGTGTCGATTTCTTGAAGGGTGAGCTTCATTGTTTTCGTTTTATTTCAACCTAATCTGCTTAATATGAACGTGCATATTGACATACAATTATTTTAGAGGCCAGAAAATGGCCAGACAGACGGACTGACAACTTTTGGAAAGAGACCGCCCGGTCCCGGGCTGCTGGACGGTCCTTATTTCGTACCCTGGTTATAATCATCATTATTATTATTATTATTATTATTATTATTTTTTTTTTTTTTTTTTTTTTTTTTTTTTTAATTTTGTAGAATTTTTTGTTCAAAATGGATGTATGCAAGAAGATTTTAAACCAAATTAAACCTCAAATAGTAATCATTTACTGCACTTGTGCACAATTTGATATGTTAGAAGTTTCTTTTTTTTGTTAGATATTTTTAAAGTATCTTCTTTTAGGTCTTTGATCGGGCAATTGTGTCTGTTGAAGAGCCTGTGCTTGAGCTTTTATCTGATGGCCCCCTTAAGAAGAAGCTAGAAGAGTTGCATGTAGTTGTTGGTAATTGCTCTCTCTCTGGAAGCTTTTGTTCATTGCAAGCAGCTGAACACATGATCATGCGGCATTTAATGGAACCGCAGTCTGCAATGAATAATGGCTATCAGCAGGGTGCACACAACCATTTAGATGATGATGAAATTGAAACAAGAACAAAAGAAACTGTGGGTGGAAAGAATGGCCCTATGCGTAAATCACCTGAGGTGAAGCAAAATCTCACGGATGTCAATTCTGAGAAAAACTTTAAACCAAAGAAAGAAAAGCATGGGTCAACAGAAAGGAGTGGAAAACCAATGAAAGCATCACCTCAGGCAGATGCCGGTACTGAATCTTCGAATCAAGATGAGGGTTTAAGTTCTAATGAGAATATTAACTCGCAGGGAGCAAGATACACACCTGACAAATATTCAGATTACTCCGTAAAAGATAAGAAAGATGGCAGTTACATGGGGTCAGCAGAGCTGAATGCAAAAACTAATTTGTCATTGCACACTCAAGGGGAAGAATACCAGTCACTGGGTAATGAGGGGAAGACACAGATGCGCAGAAGTCAAGTTACAGGCATAGGCTATGATCATCTTGATCATGATAGGTACAACAGTGACCACTTTTCAGGTATTGGTGAAAATAGTGCAGAAATTGCCCCTTCTTTGTATGTGTGTGCAGGAGCATCAGAGGATGAGCATCTTTCTGGAGTAAAAGATGAAGAAACAGGTCAAAAAACCAAAGCTATTGAATCCAGAATGACAGAAGTGAATGGCAATCTTGGTTTGTTACATGCTGTAGGACCTCTGGATAAGGATTTGGTGCATTGGGTGCTTGAGAGGCAAAATCGAGAGATTACAAAAATTAAAGATGAGCATGGGATCCAACTGCAGTTTCAGGAAAAGAGTCAAGGGAGGATGTTGGTCAACATTTTATGTCCAGACCTTAAAAGTGGATATAATCCAAAAACAGTAATTGATAAACTAACTGCATTATTTCAGGGAGTCTACAGAGCAGATTTTTATGGTCCTCATGTTTCAAGTGAATCATTGGACAGCTTAGTCTCGAAAGCAAAAAGCATTTGTTCAGTGGTCAGTGTGAAAACGAAAAATGATGTGTTGTCTTTGATTGGCCAAAAAGATGATGTTCAGAGGACTCATAAGGTGCTGTCTCAAGATATAATTAAATTTGGATATCCACTAGAATCCTCAGGAGTCCGGCCCTTTGATGTACCAACCACTGGAGATGAGAAACTCCCTATGGCCATGCTTAATTCAGATCTACCAAAGAAACTTTCAAGCACAAGTCCTGCTGACGTTAGTCATGACCAAATTCCAGTGGATAGAGACATTTGGGATTATCTTAGTGCATTCCATGGGGACAGGCTCAAAGATATTAGAAGAAAATACAGTGTTTCATTTCAAGTCATTACAGCTGGTGACTCGTATATGCTTCACCTGGTCAGTAATTATAATAGAATGCCACAGGTTCCCGATGCTGCATTTGAGGAGGTAGCATCACTTCATCAGGAATTATTTGGACGATTGAAAAAGGAAGTGGTAAATTTAGAAGGTTCCCAAAATTCAAAGAAAGAGATGAACATTTTGACAGCCAAAAAGAAGTTTCCCAATGTTTTGTTCGGGGATGGGAGCTCGAAGAAACTTTCATTACTTGGACCTGGTAGTGATGCTTTTAAAGCAAAGTCATGGTTAAGAAAACAACTAGGTCTTACACCTCGAAGATCGAGTTCACTTAACAGGGGGAAACAAAGAGAGTCAAGTCCAGAGAGAAGTAGGCCAGCAACACACCATGAAAATAGTGGGTCAAGAGGCAGGCAGTCTAGAAGAGACAGCCACAGTTGTAATGCCAAGAGACAAACATTTCACACCAGTGAAGGGATCACATTAGTTGTTTATAAAGGAGATATCACAAAAGACGATGCTGATGTAATAGTCAGTGCTGCCAATAACCTATTGAACAATTCCGCAGGTGTAGCAGGGGCCATCTCCAAAGCTGCAGGTGGAAGTGGGTCAGAACTGGAAAGGGAGTGCCGGAGCTATATAAGAAAGTATAGTCAGTTACCAACTAGGTGGGCTATGAATACCAGTGCTGGGGGACAGCTTCTCTGTAAGAAAGTCATTCATGCAGTAGGCCCTGTGTACACATGGAGTTATGAGCAGTTTCAATCAGATTTGTATAGGACTTTCTTGGAGGTCTTGCATCATGCTGACAAAATTCTTTCAGCACATTCTGTCGCCATACCATTGATAAGTGCAGGTGCGTATCCTCTTCATCCAAATAATAATAATTGTTTTTTTTTGTGCACTCAGGTGCTAGCTTACCTGAATGTTTCCATAAAGCAACTTTTTACTTAGCTTTCCAGTTCTGAAAGGCCATTTTGATTATAAATAAGATCTGAGAAAGTAAAACTGAAGATATTAATACTGACTACTACTTTGACAATAATGTCTCAGACTTTTCATTGGGAAAATTGTGAATTTTACAGATACTGTATTTCTTATAAATTAAACATACTGTACCTTTTGAGTGTTAGCAACAAAATTGAAAAGAATGCTACCTTATAGTAAAAATTGTTTCAGAAAGCTTAATCATTTTCCCTGTTGAAAACAACAAGTCATTTCTGTAACAAGTAAACTTAAGTAAAAAGAGGAAGGATATGGGGGTATTTAGATTGTATTTATGACAGTACTTATATTCCTTGTGCCCTCGTGATTTTTTGTTTAATTCATTTTCGTTAAAGGGATACAGCTGTTCATTTTGCTCCCCCCCCTTAAAAAAAAGGATTTTCCTGGGTTAAACAACAATTTTAGCATACTTACCATTGGTTAATGAATCCATTCTGACATTCAAAGCTAGCCCCCTCCCTTTTTTCCCCTCAATTTAATTTTTTTTTTCATTTTTTTTTTTTTTTTGGAATAAGCTCTTAAGGGATTATTACAGAGGGTAGCTATTTATGAAGGTCACATGGCACAGATTTCGAGCATAATTTTCATAAACCCCGCTTTGGTGGTAGAAAAATTCTTTTGGATTTGTTTACAATGTGTTTGTCATGACACATTGATATCATACCAAAAGTATTTATCTCTTGAACATTAATGTCATGGCTGTAAAATTTTTTTGATCAGTTATTTTCATTTTTTTTTACATCAATCTATTTGAAACTAGAGGTTTTAACTGTTTTCTTCTTTACAGGAATATCTAGAATGCCTGTTGATTACTGTGCTTCAGCACTTGCCCAAGCCATTCATTCTTATAGCAAACAGAAAGGTCCTAGAGCACTCAAGGAGATACGATTGGTAAACATCACTGATAAAGCTGTTGCAGCCATACAGGCAGCTTTTAATGGCATGTTTCTCACAGATATTTCTACACATGAAACTGAGAGCTCTGAAAGTGATACCACTAAATATGATGCGAGAAGTGCTCAAAGAAAGCCTTCCAGAACAGTGGTGGTACATAAAGTAGGAGCTGCAAATGCAAATCCTGGGTCAGTAACAGCTACCAAATACAGGAATGAAGGTAGTGGAGCTCAGCAGAACGGATTAACCAATGAGAGTAAAGATCACATCTCCAAAGGTTATCTGCTGAATGACAGAAGTGATATGTATAAGTCACCAGTGGAGCATAAGAGAGTGGAAGCTAGGGATACTGCCAGTTCATTGCCAGAGAGAGAGTATATTTTCAAGAAGGCTCATTACACAGGTGCACCCCCACAGCAGCATGATGTTACAGATGGTGGAAATTACCCAAGATTTGACTCAACTTCTTCAAGGAAATCCACTTGTGCACAGTGTAAACAGAGTGTTCATAGTCGCAGACATATTTGCAACCACTGTGGCCACATATTTTGCACTTACTGTTTTACACATAATAGATTACTAAAATGTCCTGTATGTTCTCCAAAACTTGAGCTGTCAAATGCGACCTCAAAAAGGCATGACTCTGCACAACAGCCTCTTAACACAGGGTCAATCACACCAGTTAGCCAGGCAACACAACACATAACAGACATATCATCTGTGACGAGAAGCAGTGTGTCAGGGGGTATGACACAACATCTTGAAGTTGGCGACAGTGACGACAACTGTGCTATCTGTATGTGTGACAAAGACAATCCCAAAACTTTGCCCATTTGCAAGCATAGTTTTTGTACAAGCTGTATTGATGAGTACTTTAAGTGTGGGAAACCAGTGTGCCCAGTGTGTGGAGTCATCTATGGCGTAATCCAAGGAGACCAACCAAGTGATGGAAAGATGACATGGGAACTTGACAGAAGTGTTCAACTTCCTGGCTGTGACAGGCGAGGGGCTTACGTCATCACCTACACATTCCCCTCTGGCATTCAAAAGGTTAGTCAAATGAAAACATCAAATCAAGTCGACTTTTAGGTGGATGCCCTCCCCAGTTTGTTTTAGTTATTGCCAGAGAATATTAAATATTTGCATTCATATTATTTTGCAAAATATAAACGGATTTGTGACTTGTCAACTTGTTATTGTCAAATGGGTGTTTTCAAAGATATTCATTTATGTGGAAGAGTTAGCTTTGCTTTGGTGAATGAAAGATGGGGATGAAGTATTGCTAAGGCACATTTTGGGATATGCAATTGTTGGCACAACATACGAGTCAAAGTCAACAAACTGGTTTGTTTTTTTTAATTTTATTAATAGGAACATCATCCAAACCCAGGACAGCGCTATAAGGGCATACTGCGTCAAGCATATCTTCCTCATAACAAAGAAGGAAGAGAGATCCTGCGTTTGCTGGAAAAAGCTTTTGATGCAAAGGTGATGTTCACCATAGGACATTCCAGAACAACAGGAAGAGAAGGGGTGATAACGTGGAATGACATCCATCATAAAACTAACATATCAGGAGGCCCCACTAAGTAAGTGGTATTGCATGGGTTTAAATTGAATAATGATATATTCCTTCTAGCCACAAGAATCGAATTGTTTTGAAATGCTCTTTAGAATGTGAGATTTCTTCTTTTTCAGTAATAATGAAATACCAATATTTATATGTTGTTCAAATGTACTAAGTAACTGTCTTGTAATATTTTCTCTAAGATAAATGGTAATATTTGTTTGTTCTTTTTTTCCTGTAGTTTTGGCTATCCAGATCCTGGGTACCTTCAGCGGGTTAGGGAAGAACTAGCAGCTAAAGGGATCAAGTTGGATAATAAGTCATAATCAATTGAGAAACATGCAAATATATAATAAGAAATTCTTAAAATGAAAAGGGAGATTTCAATAAATGATTAAGACTCTATAATGAATGCATATAAGAGGAAATTTTTGATCAGTAAACAAGGAAAAATGTTTGTTTTATTTCATGTGTTGATGACAATATTGTAGAACACAATAGAAATTTATAAGTTTTTGATTAAGTTCATTATTTGATTAATTGTTGTTTGTGTGTGTTATACCAGGAAAGGTAACACCAGAGAATGTATTTATCAATTTAAAGAAATATTATGTGATTGAGTAATTGCATAGTTTGATATACATATATATAACAATGCCAATGATATTTAATGCTAATGATATTTTGAGTTTTATGTTGTCAGCTTGATTTAAGTACAGTGTATATAGTCCAGACTGTCCACAACTAGACTCTAGGACTTCTTAAACATTTTCACATATTTGTTATTAAACAATTATTTTTTTATTCTGTAAAATATATTTAAAAAAAACAATGTAAAGAATATACTACTGTCTTGAGAGCTTTTGCATTATAAATTGGAATTACATGTGTAGATGCAAGCAAGCATATCTGTCATTTTGTTTAATTGAATCTTGAGTGGTATAAATAGCATAAGTTGATTCAACTTCTATTGGATTAGTATATTTGTAAAGTGGCATTCTCGGAGAAAAAAATCTAAAAATGTATCAATGCATAAGGATTGTATTGTGTTGATTTCCTTTTCTCTTGGAAATGTTATGACCAAAATCATAAAATTGTAGTATAATAGATCTTTTGTATTTCTTATATCTAACACCTACAATCTGAGTTACTTATGCATTTCAACAGTGGCAGCAACAGCTTAGCATGTAATTATTCTTCTGGTAAACTTCAGACAGTGCCACTGGTTAAATATGTGATGATATTATGGAGTAACTAAAACATATCAAAACTAGCAGATTCCATTTGTTTCTAATCTTCTTCCACAGCAAAACCACAAGGTTCAAGCCCATTTCCCTGTAAATATGTAAAAAGACACTGCAGGCCCGAAGCCAACAGAGGAGGTTCTTTTTCTGAAAAAGTGGACCTTTTACCATGAAACCAACATGCACCTAGATCAGCATGTGTCCAGAGCTGACCTTTTTCAGCAAAAAGTGTGGTTAGTTCGAACACCCTCGAATCCCCCTGGCTACAGGCCTGCATTGATTTAATTATGTAAATCCAGTTTTTCTGTACTTGTCTACCTTCAGGTTATAACCAAGCATAGAGTATGTGTTTTATGTTTTATATGATCTTAGTTTTGAATTGATTTTGTCAAACTGAGCACAGATTTAGGCTTCGTTCACATGCAATGTCTATTTTCTAATTTCTATTTTCTATTTGCGGTATGTCTTATGATCACGGTCTGTGCACTGAATATCCCGCGGCGTAATTACTGGCAGCGCGAGCCAGTTACTATAAGTTACTATAAGTAACTGGCTCGCGCTGCCAGTAATTACACGGCGGGATATTCAGGGCACAGACCGTGATCATAAGATAGCGCAAATAGAAATTAGAAAATAGACATTGCATGTGAACGAAGCCTTATTTTACTTGCATTTGTGAGCGTTGTTAACTGGAAGTTGATTAATCAAAGAAATTATTGTGTATACTGATTCAGAATGTAAAAAGCTTTCCTTAATTTAGGGAAGAAAGCTTGTGTAATAAGAAAGATGGGTTATCCATTGATATGGATGCCATGTGCATACCAAAAAAAGAAAATATAAATTAAAGATTAGATTAATAATTTTTTAATTTGGATGAAGCCAAATTTATATAAAAATGTACATCGTTATTGCCTTGGCTTATATGAAATAATAATATTTCCATCAAAGTAAAAAATATATATATATTTTTTTATATTTAATTGTGAAGGATATTTGCTGTAATAATTATATTTCCAGGATAAAAATAGGACTTTCAAACATTATGAAAATGTAGACTACCTTTAAAACAGATAGCAGAAAACAATACTAAAACACTAAAAGGCTAAAAGGCTAACTGTCAATTTTGATACAATAATACATTATGCACAACAGCTAATATTTATGTAAAACATGTAACAAGCATAAGGCATCAGGACCATGACAGTTCACACTTTGAAAATACCAGAATGAGAAAAATTAAAATTTCACAAAAAAAAAATGGGTAAACCAAAAAATGATAAGCCAATAGAACTGGTTTTCTAATTTTCAGCTGTATGTCAATCTTATGATAATGTTCTTGTAAGGTTAAAAAAAGGTTCGTTTTTGAAAAACGAAACTGGAAACTATAAACTAGACACCAACTTCAGCACTCTTTATTTGTGCCCATTACATGTTGCATCTGTTTAACATTGATTTCACTTTTACTCAATGTAAGTCTGTATATGTGCCTTCTTGTATGTTAAGTTAAAAGTTTGACAAAATTTTTAAACAGCATTAGAAGTGGCATACATTCTTGTCACACTAATTACTTATTATAATAATGCAATTATGTAGAGTAATAATAATATTTATGTAGCCAAATGTTCAAAAGCACAATGAAGCTCTGTTTTCGCTCAAAAGTAAATAAGATAAGTCCATATGACTGAAAATTGTCATTTATTAATGATAAAAACTAATAAAATACAAAGTTACAAAACTGGAGGATAATATAATTACATCCCCAAAACTATATTACCACCATAATATAAAAATAATAAAGTAGGTTATAATTAATGAGTGCAACCAAGAAAAATTAAGAAAAATATGAGAAACCACAACAGCTATTAGAGCAAAAAGTTGGCTCAAATGAAAAATGAATGCCGCCATAGTTACATAATTTAGGGATAATCATAGATCCCCACACTAAAGAACTAACATAATATATAATTAAATTTACTAAAAGTTTAAGTTAATGAATGCAACCAAAGTTAAGAAAAGTGATGACATTATGAAAAATTAATATGTGAAACAACAAAAGCTATTGGAGCAAAAAGTTGGCACAAATGTAAAATTGAGGTTAAGAATAGTGCAAAAGGGAATACTAGAGAAAAAAAAAACACAAGGACGAAGGCAGGTGATAGGGGATGGTGGAGGGTGTCCAAATAAAAATAAAATAACAATGTAAGTAATATTCCAGTGTAGCTGCTAAAACTGAAACGGAAAATTCAGAAAAATATCACCGCAGCTAAAAAGCTGAATGACTTCTCACTGATGTAGTTCAATAGAAATAGTTGCCAAAAATATTTTTTAATCATTACAAATAAATGTGTGTGCCTAGGTACACAGAGACTGAGACATTTCAGTACCCCGAGACATCTATTATCACCTTGCCTTGGTCAACTACTTAGGGTGCTTTCCCAGAGATTTAGATCGATCTAAAGATTAAGTTTTAGATCGACTTAACTCCCTGGGGGTTCAGGCTAAATTGCAGTCAGCCGAGCGGACACCATAGTTAATTACCCCCTTGCAGCTTTTAGTAGGCGGGACAGACGCTTAAGCCGGCCAAGCTGACAGTAATCTAGTGAGACTCCCCACAGGGATAGATCGATCTAAAAATCTATGGAAATGGGGTGTTAAAGATAAAAATGTGCAGACACAAGCCCCAAACTAAGACTATTTCCTATAACCATAACGTTGATGTATTATTAACAAAGTTATTACCACCACTAGAAACAAACAACTTCCTAAATAAATGCAATTTATTATCTAAATTGTTTAATTTTTAAATAAAATGTAAACTTGCAAATGTGTCTCAGTATGGAATCTGATTATTGTGTCTCTTCATATCTAAAATGTGCAGCTGTTGCATGTCTAAAAGTAAACATAATAAATAGGACTTATGGAATTAAATCGTAAAGCTTAGAAGAATATCTTGTATATATTACATGTGAGTGCATTAGCTCTGACTAGAAAAGTGAAGTACAGATTTTTTGGTTATCCAAGGAATAGGGGATCATAATGAAGCAAATCTGTATGACAATAATTTCACATGTATTAACATGTATTTCATATGTTTTTCTTGCAACATGGCTCCCAATGTTTTATTAAACAAACATATTGTCTTGTCTATTTTTTTATTAATTATTATTAATTTTAGGTCATATTGCCCCCCTGTATTGGCAATTACGTAAAGAGATTTAACCAGTGTTAATTGAATGTGCATTTTTGAGCACCCCTCTATCAAGAAAAGTTGCTGGAAGAGTAGTCGGTAACTCTGCCTTATAACAAGCTGTCATCATGTGGACAAATACTATGGTGCCCCACACCATGCAGGAATTTGGGCCAAACCATCTCTCTCTTTCCTCTTGAAGATACATACTGAACGATCACCAACATTAGATGTACTGGCAGACATTAGCTTAAGCAGTGAACAGAAATCTAAAATACAGCAGTAATTTTCCTGATGAAGAAAACCTGGACCCATTGTCTGGTGGATAAGAGCTGAAAGGGGGGAAATCCGTAACGAAGTACAGGCAATAGAAATACTCCACTCAGCAGGAGACATTTTTGAATGTATTCTGGTCAGTGAAAAAGGAAGATGTTATGCTCATAATCAATAACGAAAAAAAATAAAGAGCCTCATGCCATTGACTTTGGAAGCCATTTCATCGATGACTGTGGGGCTTGGGGTGGGACCCACTTACCCATATCTTACAAAGCTAAGCTCCAATCTAAATGGATATCTGTTGTGAAAAAAGATGGACTGTTTTGCGTGTACAGACAAATTACTAAGAAAAGGCATGCTGTTCCCATGGAACCACAACCTACATAGATATTAGAGCTACACAGATATTATACCTTTTCCAAACACAATCCTGCATACAAAAGAAGGGTAACTTGGACCGAAAATATGCACCCAGCCATCACCCTTGTAGAATATATTGGGACATATCCAGGCCCCAACAGCATCCATGGCAATGCTGAATTCTCAGTTAACTTGTGTTGCCATACTTCAGACTTTGTTATGGACTGTATAACTGCTGAACGAGACTCCAAACTTCCTGAACTTCACAAAAAGTTGCATGGTTCTTGAGGCAGATTCAGAAAACCAAAGACCCGCAAATTTGAAACAGGTAGCAAATAAAAAGTGTTATAAAAAAAAAAGGCTTGTACTTCCACTTCAGAGCCTGCAAATGTAGCAAAAGACTAAGTCTACACAATTCACTCCATGAACACCCTTTCACTCGCAGCATCAACCACATAAAGAGCAAGTCCCTTGTGTAATGTTGTATAACAATGAACAGATCTCAGACATTCCATGATTCTGCTGCCCTGCTCCCAACTACATCACTACGGTTTTGGGTGTCAATAAAACGTTCAACCTGGGACAACTTCATGTCATATCACTAACTTACAAGCACCTAGGATTGGTAAGAATCCCAAGATCATCCCATATTTTTAGGCCCCATTCTTATTCACAGACAATCTGACTAGAAGACATTTTCACTTCTTTTTTCACTTCTATTGCTATGGAAATGCCTATAAAAATCCAAATTTAGTTAACCGAAGTGATGAGGTAAAAAAAAGCCATCAAGAAAGGTGCAAACTTTGGTTTTGGAAGTAATACAGATCTCATTTCTTGTCATCAGCACATCAGAAACAATGCTACTAGTATAAATTTTTTGAAAGATAAAACTGGGGCTAATCACAAAGAAAGGGACAAAATAGTTTCAACTATATTTGAAGAAAACCTGGACCCTTTGTCTGGTGGAAAAAAGCTGACAGTGAGGAAATTCATAACGGAAGTAGAGGTAATAGAAATACTCCACTCAGCAGGAGACATTCTTGAATGTATTCCAGATGCCAAAAAGGAACTGTTGTGAAAAAAGGACTGTTTTGTGTGTACAGACAAGTTACTAAAAGCCATGCTGTTCCCCTGGAACCACAACCTACACTGATATTAAAGCCACACAGATATTAGACCTGTTCCAAACGCAATCTTGCATACAAAAGAAGGGTAACTTGGATCGAAAATATGCACCCAGCCATCACCCTTGTAGAATATATTGGGACATATCCAGGCCACAACAGAATCCATGGCTATGCTGAACTCTCCCGTGTTGCCATACCTCAGACTTTGTTATGGACTGTATAACTGCTGAACATGATTCCAAACTTAAAGAACTTTACAAAAAGTTGGTTCTAAAGTAGATTCAGAAAACCAAAGACTCGCAAATTTGAAACAGGTAACAAATAAAGTGTTATGAAAGAAAAAAGGCTCATACTTCGACTGCAGGACCTGCAAATGTAGGAAAAGACTTAGTTAGTCTATACAATTCACTCCATGAACACCCTTTCATTTGCAGCATCAACCACATAAAGAGCAAGTCCCCTTGTGTAACGTCGTATACCACTGAACAGATCTCAGACATAACACGATTCTGCTATACTGCTCCCAACCCCATCACTACGTTTTTGGGTGACGATAAAACATTCAACCTGGGACAACTTCATGTCACTTCACTACTAACAAGCACCTAGAAAGCATCAAAACACAAGATCATACAATATTTTTGGCCACATTTTCATTCACGGACAATCTGACTGGAAGATATTTAGGAACTTTTTCACTTCTGTTGCTATGGAAATGCCTATAAAAATCCAAAATTAGTTATCTGAAATGATGAGCAAAAGGCCATCAAGGAAGGTGCAAACTTTGGCTTTGGAAGGAATACAGATCACATTTCTTGTCATCGGCACATCAAAAACAACCCAGACAGCCTCAGTAATCTGGCCCACGTCTGGCCCAGATCTGGCAACGTCTGGCAATATCTGGGCCAGATTTTGCCAGACACTTGCCAGATCTGGGCCAAGTCTGGCAAAGTCTGGCATTTATGCCACATTTTGCCAGACACTTGCCAGATCTGGGCCAAGTCTGGCAAAGTCTGGCATTTATGCCACATTTTGCCAGATGCTGCCCAGACTTGGGCCAGATATGGTACTTTCATTTTCAATTTTTATTTTCTATTTATTTATTTTTTATTGACCAGTGAGCTGAATGCATTGAACTGACGTCATTTGATAAATTTTGATTTAATTTATCTCTCTCTCTTTTCTTCAAAGTCCCCTCATAAGTGTGCTATTTGTT